GGAAATGAACAGCATGCTATTCAAGATCTGAATCTCTCTTTTCGGGGTTTCCTCTATTTGCCACACACTGTGCTAGGTAGCCGGTTCCGCCCATGTTTGTACAGGGCGGTTCTTGTGGGACAAAGATGGGCCAGCCCGTTTCCTTTTCCAATAATTCCCTTGGAAACTCCTTGGCCAAACATGGGGCGCCTCCAGTTCCCACAGTACATGTGGCCCCGCAGGTACTCAGGCGACTCAGGACAGAGAACATCATGTAAAACCTGATACACATCCATTCCCCTCTCGTCCAACATGGCACCTGGGGGTCCCTCCGAGCGGAAACTGATCTTCCAGATGCCTTCCCACAGGTGCCACGTTAGAAAAAGGGTACCTGTGGAAAATGGAATCACTGGGTTTTGGCAACGCAACAGCCCCTTCGCTTCCAATTCAGTCCTGACCAGCCTGCGGAGCCGCGTCGCAGATCCTAGCGACATATCCGGAGCTTCAGGGATACAAGGGCCTAAACAAGCAGCGTGGGCTACTGGGGCCAGGACTCGGACAGCTGAACAAACAGAGGCAAGCAAAGGGTCAATGCTTCTTGTGCTTTGATCAATTCACGCCCGCACTTGGATGTTCGGCCCCCATGAGCAAGTGGCTTCCTGACCTAGGTCATAATCCACTTGCACCAAAGGGCGAACTTTACTGAGGACCCATATTCATATGTTTATGTACATTCATAGTATACCCGGATTGCCCTCAAATTACGGGATGAATTCCAACTTGTGTGTGCAGTTTGAGGGTCCTACACTACCCTGGCCGAACGCTCAAGCAAGATTCAAGAGGTCCGAAGCTTCGAAACCGGACGTAGAGGTGAGCGGCAACCTGCGCCTTGCAACTATGAAACAGCTGTGACCATTGGTAGGGCACAAGGCTACGAGTTTTCGTAGGCTTAGTAGGATCAACACCCGTAAGTGCTTGGCTATGCACATGATGTCCACAAAATCAGATTCATGTCCGCATTTGAGCCATCAAGGTCATGATTCCTGCTGCAGTTGACAAGGACCCACCTGCCCTCCCCACTGCTTCACGGCAAAATATTCTCAGCTTCCTCTTTGCAACTTTGGCTGACGCGATGAGACATGGACGTATGCGTCAGAGGCTTCAAAGTGACAACCCGTTCACCCTATGAACTGCAAACTCCAAGTCTAAGTGAGTCATAATCACAGAGATGAAATGAAATGGTCTACCCAGAACCATGTACAGAATCACAAAGGCGGCTACACCCATTGATTGGACTCAAGAGGGCCAAACTAGGGACCCGGGTCAAAAGGAAACCAAGCAGCTCTCAGCCATTTGGAGGGAAGCTTGTGTCGCAACACAGCATGGACAAAGCTAAGCCGAACCCGACGCACCTGGGGCGCTGGGTTGACCCAACCCTTTATAAAGGCATGTGTGTACATATGTCAAAGCCCCTCATTTAGTTGCAACATCTGTTGTCTTGTTGTGATTACTCTTGAACAAGCTCTGTGATCAAAGCAACAGCTGTGTTCAACGCCTCTTGTTTAAGCGACATATCTTATGCTGTTTCTGGATGCTCCTCGTGAAAACAATTCACCGTTCGCATCTTCCAACGGAAGTCACCCCGCTGGGAGTGCGGGCGCGGAGCCGGGAGCGGACACGTCGCGACCTCTGCCGGCGAAGGCGCGACAGAACAACCACCAAGCAGGCGGGAACTGGTTTCTTTTTGTTGCCTTCTTTCTTTGTGAAAAAAATGAATATATATATATATATATACATAACCCTCAAATATTTGTTCGACCAACCCAATCCAAATCCATGAGGCAGGTGAGAGGCGAAGCGCTACTTTGTTCCCCTAACCATGGGCCAATGGACGCAAGGCCCGAAGAAGCATGCGTTGTCTCAACAAACTGAAACAAGGGGCGTGACTGCAAATGTGACAAGACACCAGCGATTCCAGAGACAAGGGGTAAACCATTCGGTAAAACATCATGTGACGTCTAGGGGTACAAGAATCGCTTCTCACCTGGAGTGCCCTGCCTGGAAGCTCTGGGAGCACTCAAAAGGTAGCTCAGAAAATGGATCAGTCGCAAAGGCCACCGGCCCAAAACTGCGGTTCATCTCCGTCATGCATGTGACATATCAATCAATACAACAGTGCACACATACAAGTGGGCATACATGCATGCAGGCGTTCTTGTCCGGGAGGCAGCCGTGGGCAAACAGGCACAAACAAGAGTGTTTCCTGAAACGGTTCTGACCCGAACATAGGGTCGTAGAAGCTTCGAGGCAGGCGGGAACATCCACTCAGAAGTGACAGTCTGCGGCCAAGATGCCTTTGTTCGCCTCGGATTTGCGCACACTGGCATGGAAGTGTTTTTTCGCTTGGGCCCTGGAGAGAGAAAGTTGAGTCAAAGAACATGGGCGGGGACCAGCTACCACGTGTTGGCACATACAGGGAAATTAGATACCTTTGATAATATCTGGGCGGTGCCCATTTTGATGGCAGCCCTTTGACTTTCCACAATCAGCCAGTTTGAGCCATGCTTGCTTTTTCATGAGCAAACGGCAAATGGGCAAAACGCGTGAGTTGGATACGCCAAACACGGAAATATTCATGACCTGACCCACATACCACACTTGCCAGTTTGACACACCTTAGCCTTTGCAAACTAACTGTAAACAATGCATGTTCCAAGCTCATTCAAAGCAACAACTACATCGCTAGCAACGCTGGTAAAAGCCTACAGATCTATCCGCACGACACAGGTCCTGCAGCCGGCCAAGCACAATCCAGCGTCTTTGCGCTTGCGTCTGATGCTAGCATGTGTCAGCATCTCGCAAGCTGACTGACACGTCCCCCTCTCTTGAGATTCCTTCCTTCCAAAGAACCCCTGCAAGGCATTTGACACGGGCACGCGTGATCAGCCTCAAGGAGCACGCTCCTTATTGGCTCGGGTTCAAAAGCACATGCCGCGCACTTGGACGTTGTGCGCCGGTCCACCCCTCCCCCCTCCCCAAATTTAGCTTTTTTTCCGCTTTTCAATACTCCTTGTTCCGCCAGCTGGCGTCACATATTCATGAACATAAAACCCGCTCGGTGGAAATCTGATCACTGGATTCGCCCTATGTCATCCCCTTCCACACGCTGGGGTCATAACTCACACCTACCAACAGGGGCTTAGATTGGATGGGGCTGTTCCTTTCTGACCTTCATTTACCCAGGTTCATTGAGGCTCAGATGATGAATATTTTGTCGTTGCTCCGCTAACCACACACACACAGTGCACCGTCCCCTTAAGTGGAAAAGCATCGGGGGGGGGGGGGAAAAACTGAAAATAAAAAGAAAACCGCGGACTCAGGGACCGGCGTCATTGAGCGCCACCTTCTTCGTGCCATCCCCAGCCAAAACCACCTGGCTGCGGATGTTGCCCCAAATCGCGTTGCTGCGTGCTTTGTTTTTAATCGGGGAGAATCAGGAAAGAATTTACCCATTCCCTTTCGGGCTTTCCTTGCGACATTCGAGCTTGTACTTTGTTGAGAAAGGACTGTAATCTCTTCACTGTAAAAAAGAAGATGACATTCGGACACTCACCAAAATACCATGGTATCGGGGTTGCACACCAAAATCCCAGAGAAAACAATCAAGATTGACCGCGGCTCAATGGGGGCTCCAGTATCGTACGCCCGACAAACAACCAGAATATTGTTGTTCTTGTTGTTCCTGGTTATACCTACTAATGTGGGTCACCGCTCAATCAAGGCCCTCAAACAATCTGACGGGCCCATAGAAAATTGCTTAAACAAATTGCGGGTCGGAGGTCCCCCCCCCCCGCCCCCGCCAAAACAGACTCTACCTGGGTACTTGTTAACCATAGGTTTAGTATTGGCTTAGCATTTGTTCAATATGGCTTGGTGCTGCCTTGGAGCTGGTGCAGCATTGGTCTAGTCTTGGTCTAGTGCTGCCTAAAAGCTATCTTGGCGTTGGTTGAGTACTGCCTTACTGCTGCCTGAGTGCTGGTTGAGTATTCATTTGTATTGTCATGCATTTTTGTGCAAGTTTATAGTACTGGTCATCTTTGGTACTCCTCGATCCTCTCGGACTAGCATTGGTTGAGTCTTGCTTTGCTTGTTTTCTGAATGGTGTTCTGGTATTGGTATAGAACTGGTTGAGTATCGGTTTAGTATTGGTTTAGTATTGGGAAGCTTCTGCTCGGGGAATTCCTTGCCTCAATCGATTACACTTTATTCAATTCTTACTTCTGAGCATCTGGGTCTCGGCTGTGCACTCCACGCTTGGGTGAAGCAGTAGAAGCCAAACAATGACTAACAAGGTCGGCTTCGGGAAAACAGGGTCACATTTCCTGGCAGCTGGGCGAAAGGCGGGGCTGATGAAGATTTTGGGAGTTTGAGGAGAGCCAGCTTCTTTGTGGGGCAACAAGTTTCTTGTATTGAGTACCTGCTTTCTTTTCCCGACAACTGAATGATTTGAACCTTTTTGAATTCGGTATGCTTTTATGTTTCGGCGGCTGAGATTAGTGCAAGGGTACAAACTTGCTATGTAAAGGCGATAAAGGTTATTTATGTCAGCTGACATGACCAAAAAAAAACGTGTGTGTAGCGAGCCACAGGCAAGACTGGCATATGGCATTCCCGTTTAAGCTGCCGCTTTTTAAACTGCTAGATGTGCACTTGTGGAAAGGCAGCACGGCAAGCCCCCGATAACTTACGATACGTTTTAGATTGTGGAGCGACACCCATGATCCCTTCAAGTAGGCTGTTCCCATATACCTGGACCAACCAAGGAAGGGCACTGTTTTGACGAATGTCCGCAAAAATCCGTGCATTTGCGTGATATCCATACATTTGAGCAAAAACCGTACGGCTACAATAAAAGACACGCGATAATTCAACTACTTTTTCTGCAAGAATCTCACGTTCATCTCCGGCCCTGGCACTAGAGCTTGTCATGCTCATGGGCCGAAAAACCTTGTTGAATGTGTGCAATTCACCAAGGACAAAAGGTGCACACTTCCCCAAGCAAATGTTCCGCTGTACTGTCTCCGCAGATTTCCGTACTTTTCCCACCATGCTCCGTACATGTCCCGCCTATTTCCGTGCGTTTCCAGTTTTTGCATTTTGGCTGAGAAAACTGCAAACTTGCAAAAGCTGCAAGGAAGCTGTCCTTACCCAAAGGCAAGCTCGTATTATTTTTTGCTGGCTCGCGGTCGGCTTCCCAACGATCAACCTCACTGATGCAGGTGTTTGGGCATTCCTCATCTCGGTTCCGAAGGGGGTTCCTGTAACTATATATAATGAAACATTGTATTTCGAGTCTTCGGACGCCTCGTTGTAGAACCTGGCACTCATCCAATGTAGACTGCGCCGAAGAAAACCAAAACCCAAAACCTGACAGCCAACTGTGAGGCAACCCATCGCCGTCGCCATGGTGCCCCGCCCGCCTCCTTGGCGTGCCAATAGGCATTGATGGCCACCAGCCGGAACCACACGGTGGTGCCGGCCATAGCAGCCGAGCCCATCTGGATCCGAAAAGAATCGGACCGAAGCGATGGGTGCTCGTCTGGGCGCGTCTTTTGAGTGTACCTATGTTGTGGATGTGTCTAAACGCGTCTTTTGGTACCCTTTTTGGGGAGGGAACCATGGGGCGTTTTGAGTGTACCCGTGTTTTGGGGGAGGGAAACATGGGGCGACTCGCGAAAATTGTTTGGCCACACGGTCGATTCTGGCGCAAGCAGACACAGTGCCCCACCCCCCCTTTTCTGAAACTTCAGATTTCTTTGGGGATGGTATTCTTAGACTTATACTGCACCCTCAATGCAAGTTTCTCGACTCGGAAGTGAGAGAAGGGCTGTAATGTTCAGTGATTGATGCTTGCTTGTCAAGACCCTGCAGTTTATCACAAGAAGCAGCCCGTCTTGATGAATCAGTGATACCTGGATTTGTTCTTAGCAACACACACACACACACCCGCTCTCATAACCGAACGTGTGTAACGCGCCAAATCTGGCCGGTGTGTGTGTGTGTGTGGCTCGGATGGTTCGAAATAAGGTCGATCAGAAACAACATCTGGTGTGGTGGGCTCCCAATCCACCAAAACACGACAGCGACATTGCGCTAAAATCAAGCAATCATGAACTCTAAATGGCGCCTCAAGAGAAGCAACTCTTGTGGTTTAAAGGGAACAAACATGACACCCTGCTTTTGGGGAGGCGGTGCTGTCCGATTCCAGTAGGAGGCTTGACTCTTGCACTCCTGGATCCCTGCTGACGCTTGCGTCAAGATTCTAGGTAGGTCATTGAGCTAGTTTGGCTGAGAATGGTCATTGTGTTGCAATCTGCAGACTCCATTCTCAATATTCAGAATTGGCCCCTGAGATGACTTGCAGCGCTCTCTCTCTCTCTCTCTCTTTCTGTCTCTCTCTGTCGCGCTCTCTCTCTCTCTCTTTCTCTCTCTCTGTCGCGCTCTCTCTCTCTCTCTCTCTCTCGCTCTCGCTCTCTGTCTCTCGCTCTCTCGCCAGCACTGTGCTCTCTGGGCAAGCGATTGGCCCTCAATTCAGCCTTTTGAAACGCTCAAGAGTCCAAGCGGATATGAATGATTTGGGATTTGTGGGGAGAGTCCATTCCTGCCAACTGGCAGTCCCCAAGTATAGGGCACTGCAACCAATCCCTGTTTGCATCTGGAGCAAGGTCTCCCTCTGACGCTCTTACCATCCACCATAGTTTGATGTGGCTTGGTGTATCATGCATATTTTGCTGTACTGGGGCGTGGCAATTAAAACAACTTGCCGCAATGAACAACACGTACACGTCCCAAAAGAAGGTCGTTGAGATCCCTCTGTACAGAACACCTCAGCTTCCCACTATCAACACTTGTATCTTTGGGGCCGCGTGTTGCGAGCCTCCAACCGTCTCCGTGCCGCTCCCCAAAGTGCCATTAGACACGTGGGATCGAATTCCAAGGTCTGTGAGGGGACACCTGGCCCAACTCTCCTGACTGTGTTGGTCTCCTCAAAAACAGCATTCGGACCTGTGAGGGGTACGGGTTCTCGCTTGGAGGGCATGACCCTTAGTGTGGAGCCCAAAACCGGGGCCGCTGTTGCAAGGATATTCCTCCAAAGTCGATATTTCAGCCCAGACCCCCAGTGGCCATGTGAAACCAAACGTGTTTTTGCTACAGTCGTTACTCCCAAACAAGAAACAGAACACACCTTCTTGGTCGCGGATTTCCGGTGGTTCCCTTAAACCAAACACCTCAAAGGGACCTCCCCCCCCCCCAAAACGCCTGGCCTGGCGGAACTTGTTTTGCAGCTCCAGCGACAGGTCGCTTTGGTTGCACTGGAAGTCCACACCCTGGCCACGCACTGTAAGCCCCTGGCGTAAGCCCAGGGGGAGAAAATAAGATGTGGCCATGGGTCAAAATCAAAATCCCGTACCCCCAGTGAACATCCCAATCCAACCACGAAAATAGGTTCTAATATGGGTGGTGAATTCACCCACCCCAGAATGGTTCCATTGGTTTTGCCCCACAGCCGTGTCCACGAACGGGGGGATAGCCTCCCTTTAAAACTAACGGGCGGAAATACAATGAATATGTCCAAGGAAACGGAAGTGGATGTCCAACTTTTGAGAGTTCCCCAATAGCCTCACCAAGTCACCCGCTTCTGCCCAAAGAATGGGCCGTGGCCAATGCGTCACCCCAAAAAACATGCTGCTCCCCCTTGCAAATTCACATGTGCCGTGCCGAAAACCCATTGACTACTTGTTTTGCTAAGATTGTTATAATGATTTCAATGGGCCTTCTATAATCCTACTAAACCAGGTCGTCAAACCACCTACAACTTTGGCCAGTGCGATTTTTAGGCGTTGATCACATGGAAAGCCAACATGTAATCCATATCCCAGAAGGTGATTGTATGAGGGGCATCGCTATTGATGTGTGGGGCCTGGTTGCCAGTCCCCCGTGTTTGGAAAACAAATTCCTGCATGGTCGGACGCCATTTGTTTTGTTTTATCAATTCATTACTGTTAATGGGTTGGGATCCAGTAAACCTCAGGGACTAGTACAGTAGGTAACTCTTGGCAATCTTCCTTTGGCCACTGGAAACCTCCCGTTTGCTCGTTTTTTGCGCTTGCTCATTTGCTCCCCAAAAAACAAGCCTGACCAAGGCGAAGCCTCGCCTGCGCGGCCGGGACAACGAGGTGGCCCTCGCCCTGGCGCGGTCTTCTGGGCTCGTGCACCGACCAAAATGGGCAACTTGGTGCGCTGGCGGCAACAGCGGCAGCAGCAACAGATTCAGCAGCACTAGCAGCAGCAACAGCAAAAGTAACAGAAATAGCAACATGAGCAGCAAAGGCAGCAACCACCCTGAGCCACTGGGAGCTACAATGTGCAATGAGCGGGTCAGAACCTGACTGACCATGGAATCGCAACAAAACTAAGTAATGCAGCCACAATCAATGCACAACCCGACTTGCCCTAATTTCCCCTTTTGACCGCAAGAAAGCAGCGATGTCCAGAATAGCTTTGGCAACCGGCTCGGCTCGGCGATAAATTTGATAAAACGAAACGGGAGGACTTTAGCAAATGCCTGTTTCATCTGTAAGATCTCTCCAAGAAGTGATTCTAAACAACTTCAAGGCTGAAATAGGGACCTCCTCCAGGTGCTGAGTCAAAAGGACATCAACCGCATCCGCACCGCGGCTCCGATCTGTTCCTTCGATCGAACTCCGACCTGGTCGGAGAAGGCTTTGATCACCCCAGCCAAGGACGCGCCCTCATAGAGGTTCGCGCCAGACTGCGCGGGCAAGCGGTTTGGCCCCACTAACACAAACTTTCAAGCGTGGATGAATCAATCCCCGTTCAACTATTCAGGAGGTTCCGCTTGAGACGGGGTCCTTCACTTGTTGGGGGGGAACACCCCGAGACAAATGGACTAGGTAGCTGAATCCAGAGTCGACATCAGTGCTTTTTGCCAGCATCTTGACTATCATCGCTTGTATTTCTGCTACTCATAATATAATTTCCAAGAGTATACAAAAGTGAAACAACCTGTGGTGTCTGCATTTTGACAATCACATGGGTGTTTTAGCACAACTTGTCGTAGGGATCCTCGAGAAAGGGACCCAGGTGGGTCAGCTTGCCATGAAGCAGGCAGCAGTATGCAACTTGCATGGCATATGGGTGCCTTTCCTGGTTATACACAATGTTCCACTCACCCAGCCCAGGGAAACCGCGGGAAGTGTGTGCATGGACCTGCCTCCCAAATGCTACCGGGGGGATATGGGTCTGCTGATCCAGGTATGCTTTCTTGCTGACCCTCCGGCAAGCGCCTGGAAGCATTAAATATCCAGTGGCTGGCCTTGTCCTTTCCCCGAGCTGTAGGGTCCCACATGAGCGTTGGAGTGCGGTGTTGCTTGGTATGCCCAGGCATGTCGACAAGGAATCCTTTGAACAGCCCGATTGCTCCAGAAAGAAACTCAATGCTGTGCCAGGAGAGGAGGTGTTTCTTTTGTCTGAACTGGGAGACCTCCCGTCCCTGTGAGAATTCCCGTCTCCTCCTCCACCCTTAGACGACTTGAGCGAAAAAACCCGTGCCCCTTCGCCTCAGCCAGGTGGATCATGCGCCCGTGCCAGCGCCCGTCCGGCAACGCCTGGACATCGGACGTCGGCCCAAACGAATTGGTTTGGGGGGTGAGGACCTCAAGTGACCAACTTGGGGCCAACGACAGTGACATGACTCGCACACAAAGAATATACGTTAACACAACGAATCGCACACGTGTTGGAGGGTGCAGGATCAAAAAATAATTATTTACGGGATCAAAAAGAAATTATCGACACCCGGATCAAAAACAAATTATTTACAGGATCAAAAACAAATTATCTCGCCTGGGGGTGCCAAAACGCTGTAATTCACATCATTTTCGGGCAACAGCGCGCGCATTTTACGGCCCCAGCTGTAAAATAGACACTTTCCAATACAAGCGCAGTACGCGAAGGTCACTTTGGCAGCTCCAGTTCGAAAATCACAACTTTTCAGATACAAGCGCAGTTCTATCAACGAATCGAGCATCGGTTAAATGCCTGTAGGGTTGGCTTAAGGTTGTGTAGGGTTAATGTAGGTTGGGTTTCGAGTGGGTTTGGGTGGGTTCAGGCTTGGTCTAGGGACGGTTTAGGGTTTGTTTACGGTGGGGGGATTTAGGTTGGTTTAGGGTAGGTTTAGGTTGGGTTTAGCGTTGGTTTGCGGGTTTAGGGTGGGTTTAGGGTTGCTTTTGGGTGGGTTTAGAGTGGGTTTAGGGGTGGCTTAGGATTTGCCTGGGAATGGTTTAGGGTTGGGTTAAGGGATGGTTTCGGCTAAGTTTACGGGTAATGGTAGGGTAGGGTTAGGGCAGGTTTAGGGTTGGTTTAGGGTTGGTTTAGGCTGGGTTTAGGGTTGGCTTAAGGTTGTGTAGGGTTGGTTTCAAGGTTGGTTTAGGGAGGGTTTGGGGTTGGCTTAGGTTGGTTTAGGGTTGGTTTAGGTTGGGTTTAGGGTGGTTCTAGGTTGGCTTCGGGTAGGTTTAGGGTGGGTTTAGGGTGGGTTTAGGGTTGGTTTGCGGGTTTAGGGTTGGTTTAGGGTTTAGGGTCGGTTGAAGGTCAGTAGGGTTGGTTTAGGGTGGGTTTAGGGTTGGATGAGGTTTGGTTAGGGTTGCTTTAGGGTTGGTTTAGGGATGGTTTAGGCTGGGCTAAGGCTTGGTTTAGGGTGGGTTTAGGTTTGGTTTGGGGCTTGAAAGTTGTTTAGGGTTTTTAGGGATAATTTAGGGTAGGTCTGTTTAGTGTAGTTTTCGGGTGGGCTTAGGCTGGGTTTAGTGCCGGTTTACGTGGCTTAGGGTTGGTTTAGGGTTGGGTTGAGGGATGGTTTAGGCTAAGTTTACGGTGGTTTGGGGTAAGTGTAGGGTAGGGTTAGGGCAGGTTTAGGGTTGGTTTAGGGTTGGTTTAGGCTGGGTTTAGGGTTGGCTTAAGGTTGTGTAGGGTTGGTTTCAAGGTTGGTTTAGGGTTAATTTTGGTTGGGTTTCGGGTGGGTGTGGGGTTTCGGGTGGGTTTAGGGTTGGTTTAGGATTGGTTTAGGGTGGGTTTAGGTTTAGTTTAGGGTCTGTTTAGGGTGGGTTTAGGAGGGTTTTGGGTTTGTTTGCGGTGGGTGGATTTTGGTTGGCTTAGGGTAGGTTTAGGTTGGGTTTAGGGTGGTTTTAGGTTGGCTTAGGGTAGGTTTAGGGTAGGTTTAGGGTGGGTTTAGGATTGGTTTAGGGTTGGTTTAGAGCGGGTTTAGGGTTGGTTTAAAAGTTGCGCAGGGTCGGTTTCAAGGTTGGTTTGTAGGTTGGTTTTGGGTTGGTTTAGGGTGGGTGTAGTTTGGCTTAGGGTCGGTTTCGGGTAGGAGAGCAGGCCAGGAGACCAGCAGACCAGGAGACCAAGAGACCAGGAGACCAGGAGCCCAGGAGACCAGGAGACCAAAAGACCAGGAGACAAGACACAGGAGACCAAGGACCAGGAGACCAGGAGACCAGGAGAGCAGGGGACCGGCAGACCAGCAAAAAGCAGGAGAAGGAAATCAGCAGACCAGGAGACCAGGAGACCAGGAGACCAGGAGACCAGGCGACCAGGAGACACGGGGACCAGGACACCAGAAGACCAGGGACCATGGGGACCAGGAGGCCAAGGACCAGGAGACCAGGAGACCAGGAGAGCAGGGGACCGGAGACTAGGTCTCAATAATTTGTGTTTGATCCCCTAAATAATTGTTCGTTGATCCCCAAAATAATTATTTTTTGATGCTCATCCCCGTGTTGGATATGTGTTGGGATCCGTTCCAATAGCTTTCCAGCTGCTGAGCGATTCTCCTCCAAGTGGCCCCAATTGACAAGCGAAAGCCGTCCTTTGCGCAGGGAATTGGCATGACCAACTCCTTGCTTGTCAAAGACATGGTGTCCTGCATGCACATGGTTGGTTTCCGTGGTGTTACAGCCCAAGACCCGAGTGTGACTTCTAAGAGCGGGTCATGCTTGGGCTAAACATGCGAGCTGCCTCAAACAAGCATCCCAGGTTCACCTAGGCTCGCCCAGTCTGACAATGAAAAAACAAGCTGCCTCAAAACCATGGAAGGAATAACACCATCACCTTAGCATGAGAAACTGGGTAAAACTATCTGAGTGAAACTGGCTGGTAAAACTAGCCGGTGAAACTACCTGGCTACCTGAGGTGAAAATACCCGGATACCTACTCTAGTGCTAAGTGGAAGCACCGGGAGACGGCTCAAGTACAACGATCCGGTTGCCTTGGAACCTACGTCCCCCGCCTCCAGTCGCAAGTGTGCCGTGCAGCCCGCGATGCCGGCGCCTCTCACTGACTAAACTGGAACCCGCCAAAGGCTGTCTGTAAGAGGAAGTTGTCTTAGGGGGGAGGGGGGGCAAATAGGTTTCATGTTCGTGGAGGGGGACAAGTTCGCCGGGCAGAGGGCGAGAGTCTCTCGGCGAGAGCGCATCACCTCACCAAAGGGAAGCTCAAGCAACATGTCCCAAAAGCTGATGTTCGAATCAAAGAGACATCTTTCAGCACCCCTTGCTGACCTCTCTGGTGGCCTCGAGGGTGCCCTGTGACGTGGATTCAGTACACTTAGGGTATTTCCGAGCACCGAAGCTAAACTGACGCATCCATGTGAGACACAGCGCGAATTTAACGCTTGCATATTTGGGGCCCAAATCCAGCAAACTTCTGAGTTTTCCCGTGGCTTCAAAAGACAAGATATTGCCATTGGCTTCAATATGGGTGTGACTTTTGACGGGTACCGGTTTGTGGGGTTGGTTTCAAAGGAAACCAACAAGAACATCACCACTTTGGGGGGGGCCCTAAAAAAGACCACACCCGCATTTTGGGCAGTGTCTGGATCCACCGGTACGATTCCTACTCGCCTCTGGGCTGGACAAAGCACCAGGATGTGTCCGAACAAGCAATTGGCACAATCCATGGTGCCACACTTTGGATTGGAGGCTTACAGGGTTGTCTCCCACTCCAAGGTTGGTCTCATGTAGCCTCAAAAAAAGGCTATCTTCAGAGCTCTGGCAGTCATGCCGTTGAGAAAACATCTCGGTTTGGAAGGCCTTTGGAGTTCCATGTATATCGCCAAAGCAACAGCTGAAAACGTGAAAGCCCCCTCTCATACGTACATACGCCAAAAGCTAACGTCCTGCAAATGTGAAGGGGTGTTTGTGTCAGTGGGTCCTCTGACACTTTCGGTCTAATTCACATTCCCAAGTCAATGGCCCTCTTCGGAAGGCCAAGAGGAAGTTGAACATGCACAGAAAAAGCCACAGCTAATTTCTACAATTCACCTCCCAATGATAAGAAGACCACTGCCAGGATAAGGCTGTGCGACATCCAAACTCACCTTTGGAGACCACGTCTCTAATTTTGCCGAGACGCCGCCCATCCAGTTCAGCCTCGGGCAGCCCCCAAGATCAACAAACTTGACAATTGCACGGGCTGCAAAGCCGCCCAGGTGCTTGTTGTTCGGCTTCAAGTTGCTGGGTTTTCATCAAAGGCGCGCAGAAGCAACTGTGATTGTTTGTCCATTCCAACATGACTCCGTGAACAAAGTCTTCGCTCGCTAAACTGGGTTCCTGCATGGTTCTCAATGCCAGTGCGTCAAGTCAATGGAGTTCCGAGTTGTGGACTATTGCAACACGTTTGCACATTGCCTTCCTGGAAGAAATACAGAGTTGGTGTATTTTCTGAGCATCTAGCCATCAAAAACCACAGAGGTACTCTAACCCTATGTGTTCACTATTTTACTCAAGGGACAATGCTGCAGAATAACATGATCATCTTAAAGTGATAGTCTTGCTACTTCTTGCTCAACAATTCTCTCTAAATGGGGAAGCTCTGAACTGGGTGGTTTATCTTTACCTCCCTTTCGAACTAATTAAGAGGATTAAAGAGCTTCGTTTCTTCAGCCATATTCAACGTCCAAGCGCTTGATCTGTAGGACCCCACCAACTACTCTGGCTGTCCCCAAATGGTGAACCACACATAACCACAGAGGCTTTGGCAAGACCTGGACCAGAGAAGATCATCCTGCAGAGGATAAAGAAGATCAACTGGATCTGGAAGGCGTTGTCGAATCCTATCGAGCACTGAATGGGAGGAGGTTAGGTGACCCTACCTGGAAATGTCGAAGGGGGAGCTCCGCGAACTCTTTGCTGAGCTCGCCCCGGGCTTCGGCTTCTCGGTCTTCCGGCCCGTGATCTTCCCCCAATCTGCCAGGCTGGGCTGCTCTTGCTGCCACGAGTTCTGGCCCCCGCTTGGCTGTCGCAAGCTCCCTTTTGGCTGCACCCTTTTCACACAAGCTCCTTGACTCTCTTGGCAGCCGGTCGCCTCGGAGTCGCGTGAAGAAGGACATGGTCTCTCCGAAAGGTCACCTCCAAGTATTCTAGCTCCTCCTCCACTGGCAGCCCGTGTGGTGGTGGTGGAGTGCTCCGCTGGTGATGATGTGGCTGTAGATGCACTTGGAATCCGCTGAGATCACCAGGTTCATGTTCCCTAGGCCATTGCCATGAGCCTCGTTATTGCGACCGGCCCATTTTCCCTGGCCATCTTGTCTGCTCAATGGCTTTGGGACTTTACCGAGTGGCCCTTGATTAGCCAATACAATCCAATCACCGGAGCGGCTAGACAAAGCGTTCTGGTTCCCTGGTGAACCACGGGAAAAGGGGCCACCTGCATGAGCAGCTGACTAATTCTCTGGCTTTGCACAATGCCGCAATTGGTTTGATATTTCTTTAGGCTCGCTTAGGCTTGTTTTGCAAGAATGGACCATCTCGTTTTGCAGCGCTTTGCGTATTGTACATTCTTGTACGCTTTCAAGCTTACAAAGCTTGCCATTTCGCACTTTCAGTACAAATGTAGTATGCGCACTTTGGCAGCTCCAGCCGTACAAAGGTGCAGTGCAAGCGCATACAAGTTCTGGCTGGTTTTGGTTTGTCGCCTTTTGCGCACTCTAAAGCCGGTTGTTCCATGGATTCTGAATCTATTCTAGTTTGATCGGTTCCTTTTGGGTATTGTGGTTCTGCATATATTCTGCATGTTTCGTAAAGATTCGGGTTCTGGGCTCTTCTTCACGAGCAACCCCCCGCCGGTTTGCTGCCACAGCCGCGCACCTACCGAAAGCCACCGGCCAGGGGCCCGCACAGCGTCTGGGAGGCCTCGTCCAAGTCTCGCTTCCTGAGGCTCCGAATGGATGGGTCCAAGCGTTTCATCCATTTTAGTTGCTGGTGCTCAGGGAATGAGAAATGGAATGACCCCCATAAACCATCCCCTATGTTTTTTGTTTGTTTTTTTTTAAAGGGGACCTTTTGGGTTTATTTCCATATTCCTTGCTGCGCACCAGTTCATCCAGTGTAAGGCTCATTGGGGTGCTACAAGCAATAACCACGGCTTCTCTGAAGTGGTGGGTGGGTACTTTTGCCAAGCTTGGGACAGGACCCAGCTGTCTGGGACAAGGTAGCCAAAGGAATCTAAGTATATAGATGCCAATTACGTGTGGCCTCACGCGAACGTTGCTGATATATGTCCACAACCTGAATTTCAATTGGCGATTTGCATTTTCGCCACCCCCACAGACAAATATTGGATCTCCGTATGTTGCCTGGGAGGGGGGGGGGACCTAGATGTCGCTTCATTGGCTCTCGCGGTCAGCTGCAGGTTCAGAACTGAAACTTATGAAATCCCAGAGAATCCCAGTAGGACATATAGGTGTCAACATTTGACTCTTTGAGCCCTTCGGATGGTAAATGGGTGAACGTGTTACACATTTCCATGGTAAACGTGGGTAATTATTCCATACATCCTGGATCGCCAGTGGCTGCCTTTTTCCATCCACTTTACCCGAAAACCAGCAACAGTGACTGAAAAAAGCAGCAACTTGGCTATCCAGGATGGAATGTTTGGTAGTTTTGATCCCTTCACGCCGGCCCTCTCTCTGCTTGGCCCCCGGGCTGGAAGTACACGTCCTCTCGCATGCGCTCAGTTGCCCCGTGCTTCAGTTGACTCCCAGACACCCTAAGTGTAGTTCATCATAGGGCACCCTTGGTTTCCATTTAAAACCACGAAAAGGGGTGCCCTCTAAAAAAAATGCAGGACTCGAATAAGTAAACTTTCCCCATGTTATTTGGGGGAGCTGCGATGCTGACGGGCTGCCAAGCCACTGACAGGTCGAAAGCGGTACAGGAAAAGCGCGCATGGAAGAAATGGAGGCGGTTGAAATAGGGGACCCCCGCCATAGTTTTCCTTATGAATACCCTTTCAACCAACCCCAACAAGTCACCATTGAACATCTACACACACACAATGAGCGATCCAGAAATGTCCACGCCCAACGATTCTATGCTATATCTGCTTAATTTGAAACACAACCAATTGTAAGATAAGGTTGCCCTTTGGGCCAGTCCTATAGGCATTTCAACATGATTGACTCTTGGTGAGACCAGCCGATCAGCTGATTTCCGAACAACTGAAAGTGGATCAGACGGATCTCCACCTCAAATTCCGGTGAAAAACGACTGAACGCTTGTCAGTGCTCTTGTTCAACAAATTCATCATAATTCCCGAGGTTCCAGGGGAGCCATCTGCTTTGTTCAGGCGCGGGGGCTTATGCCAATTAGCAGTGCCAAAAAACCCGTTGACGTGTTTGCTACCAAACAATTTCCCACTAAACCGGCTCAACATGTGAGTTTCTCAAAATAGACTGCCCCCTTTTCACTATGTTAAAAGGAATCCAAAAGGAAGCCAACCGTCAGGTGCCTCCTACTGTCCTGGGTGTTGCCCGGCGCGCTGATGAAGCCCATATCTCTGGAGTCCGTGTACACCTTTACCTGGATCGCTCCGGTGCCAACGGCCGGCGCTTCCGTTGGAAGCTCTTTGGGGCACGGAATAATTTCTTTGTTTTTCTTGCGTGGGGGGGAGGGGGGGTGAAGCTTTCATTGATTTTTTTCTTTGTGGGGGCGGGGGGTCAAGCTTTAAAAGTCCACATCTGGATGGTCAAAAAAGAAGCCACCCATTGCAAAGTGCTTTGATCCCACAGGCGGCCTCAACGAGCCGCATTTAGTCTCGCACCAAACCCAAACGCCTTCGGATTGGAAGGGTCAAAAGCTCGGGAGCATCACACCCCTTGGCTTTCTTAAGGAACCTTCTTTGGGTTGGATTGTAAGACAAACGAAACCAATGCCTTAGTCCACACTCCCATATAGAACAACTCCTTGCATTCCATTGGCCAGGTAATCCCTTGGCGCAGGCAAACCTATATCCAACCAAACATCCTGTGGTTGGTTTACTTCACTGGGAAAAATAAGTCATCAAGTGCAGCTGATTCCCTGGCAACGTGCTTGGCTCAGTTGCTTCACCTAGTGAATCCGTACCAAATACAGAATGCCTGTGACCATGCGCCTCACTTGCAAAGCAACCATGCAAACGCAGAAAAAGGCTCAAGCTCCAGGCTTCCTATTTTCAAACATACAAAACACAATGATGGTGACATTAGCACCATTAAACAATGCAATGTGAAGGAGCCCTGGCAAAGACAAATAACTTGGGGCTCTTAATCTTGGTTTGTGTGCTTGATTGTTTGCCGTTCCCCGGGTGTCCCTCCCCAAAGAGTGGAAATAGAGACACCTCGATATTGGACCAAACCTCATACAAAATTAGCTGGAATCCCCCTGATCAGCTGCAATGAAACACGCGCTCTGGCAGGTCCCAAAAAGGCGAAATTGAGGAACCCCTGTCATGCTGTGGATAGACATCCACTGCGCACCAGGGATGGATGGAACCCAAGAGTTCAAAGCTACCAGACCGCATGCAGCATTCCGAAGCTGGCAAAGGTCTGAGACCCTGCACTCAACACTTTCCAAAGGATGCTCGAATCACGCCCACCTGTGAGCAGTCTAGCTTGACTTGGATATGCATTAAGTGGGTGGCAAGAAAGAAATAGTATACCCTCTCAGCTAACATGCATCCTGACTGGCGAGTTCCGAGAAACCATTTTTCCTCTTGCAGGGATTCTAGTAGGTCCCATATTAGTTTCGCCGGCGCCACTAAATCGCTGGGACCAACTTCCCTGATGAGACTCTTGAACCGGCAAAGTGAACTCCACCGGCTATCCCCGGCTCTTGAGCCAGCGGCCAGACCAGTAATTTGACCGCCGTCTATCAGCGGCCTCAGAAAAATGCACGGCCTCTGTGCAGTCGACCGACCAGTGAGTTTGGCAGTTCCATAATGGTTGTACCACCAGACCCCTCCTTCAGGATACGACATAAATCAAGAGCAAATTAGGGTAGATAAGATCTAAACAAGGCTTTGGTGTCACATACCTTTTTCGGGGTCTGGTCTGGGGGTCAGTGGGGAAGTCTTTGATTTCCAAGGCTGTGCGAACCATGTGCAACTATCAACACCAGAGCCCTACGAAAGGAACCGAAGATGGCGTGGCCACGCGAAGGGCCTTGAAATGCGTGGAATCATTGGACAATCCCCATGCCACAAACAACTCTACACGTAAGCTGCCAGGATTCCAGCGGAATCATGGGACAACGATTTCGGCCAAGTACAAAATCGTCCAAGAAAGAACAAACCCAGCAGCCGCCTACTGGATGCAGTCTTGGTGTACAAAGTCTTTCAAGGCTGTGTCACCAAGAGGGTAGCGGCTAGACAAAAAACAAATGTGTTACAAATAGTGGGACTTTCAATCATTGTGGTTCCCCTTTGGATTTCCCTTTAAACCAATATTAGGAGGGTACCTTCAGGAACAAAACACGTAGAGTACCCATGAGATCAACATCGCCAGTCTTCAGCGATTTGAGGCCTTTGCACTGGCGGTGGCCCGAGAGCGACGTCTGTGCCCTGCGACGGGCTCGGAAGAACTTGCCCAGCTGGGTATCAAGTGGATGTGAGCTATCTCCAAAATCAAAAGGTGCAAACAATATAGAATATCTCTGGAGGCTTCGTTTGGGTCGCCTTCGCTTTTCGGGTTTTAGCCACCCGAGAACATGCTCTTGAGGCGGAGTATTTTGGGGATCCTTCATGTCTTCTTTGGGTTTTCTTTCTGGGTTATCATCTAAACAAAGGGAAACCAAAGGAACCCCACTATTTATAGGCCCCCTATATAGACGCAGACTGCCGACAACATAGTGGCTTTCCTTTAAGTTTTAAATGCCAACCAGGGGTACCAACCAAAAAACATGCGCCCAAAACGCATCGACTTAAGTTTTGCTCCACCAAGATGACGGTGTTGCTACAAATCAAACTGTTAAACCAGGTACCCGACCCCCACTAACATGGCACCTGAGCAGGGGTTCCTTTAAGAGGAAACTGATCTTCTCTCCAAGTCTCGAAAGAAGCTACTCTGAGGAGCATGAGAATCCTTGCAGGGTTGTGGCCACCATTTGGAGGGGTCCCCTGTCTTGACAAACTTACTTCTTGAGTGGATTGGCGAAGCAGTGCAACTTTGTGGTTCCCACTCAAATGTTTTCCTGAAAAGTATAAGTCCAGCAAATTGGGGTAAGTGGCGAGCACAATTGCCATCTTTTTCATGCACTGCATGGAAAATCCAGAACGGGGCCTGGAAAAAGGAACAAATCGCCGGGATGGCGGCCAAGCTTGAGGAAGGACATGCAGGCCAAGCCACAACAAATCATGACGACGCGCCCTTTTTGCCCCGGTTCTTTCGGGGGAGGCACCTCTGACCCAAAGGGAAGCACAGGTTTCCAAAGGGAACAAAACCCGTCTAAACCAGTCTGCCATCTATTTTTAACAAGGCTCACCTAAAAAGGACGAAGCATAGGTCCAGATATTTCCGATCCAAACATCCAACATCTCCGACGTGGAACGTGAAGGGCCAAATAACTGGAATCCACTTGGTGGGCACTTAAAACTTAAAACCAAACTAACCCAGTGCTCCAGATACCACGAGAGTGGCCAGGGAAGCCATCATGGAAAACATCAAGGTAAGGATTTTCGGTTGCTTAGTATAGTGGTAGCTGGAAGCACTGGGTAGTCATGACTGGAATAGATATGTGTGCCTTTGCTACACGCGCCGGGATTTTTTAAGGCATCAACTCAGGATCTTAGGTCAGTGGTCACACAGGCCGCCGATGAGACACAAACCAGGCAACAGCGGCATGGCTGTGGCAAGTGGTGGGGGGCTCGTAGCTATGATGCCAGTGGTTGACTACCTAGGTCGTCCAGTAGAGAGGTTAGAGTAAGGGTACCCTTTTTTCTGTAGTCTATTTGAGTAGAGGAACCCTCCCCCCAAAAAAGGTAAAAGGGCACTACTGGGGGACCTAGCCACATGTACCTTAGTCACAAAGAGGAATTTGCTTGCTGTCACAGAAAGTGGCACGCAATGAAAGCACCATGTTTCCCTCACGCTGAGCAAGGATGCGAGATGTGGATGGGTTTGTAAGTGAGGGGAGAAAAAAAACACTCCGCCTGCGCACTGCCATCGGGCAGCCACTGCAAGATGAAGTTCACCTGGCTGCAAGCCGACGTGCCCTGAGGGGCTTTCTTTAAAGCCACATGTTGCTATCACGACTTTGCTTGAACGCACACCACAATCTAGGCCCCTTCTAATACTCGCATACTGACAAACCTTCTCCCTACAAAAGCATTTTTTAAAATCCGACGAGAGCAAGCAATGGCATTGCGTCCACAAGCCTGCGGATGTTCAACATACGTCAGGTGAGTAGGTAACCAACGTTATAGCTGAGCAAAACTGGAGCTAGTTGGCCTGTTCAAACCATGGTCATAATGACCCACTTACTAAGTAGCTTGAACATCCAAGTCTGAAAACCTCTAAGCATAATTCTGCACCTCTAAATCGCGTTGAGAAAAATCACCCCAAGAACGCCGGCATCCCAAACCGCCTCTGTCCCCGGCATCAGGGTCTGCCCGGTGCCCTCGTAGAAGTGGACCTCGTTGGCCACCTCGGAATACCACTTGGTTTGGAGCCCGCTTTGGTGAAGGGTGGTTTCCCGTTTGAGTCATAATCCAAACCCGGTATTAAAATGGTCTACCCAGAACCATGTCAAGAATTAAGAAGGCGGCCGCAGCTATTTATGGTTGGGATTGTCCCTTACTAACCTTCATCTACCCGGTTTTGATTGTGGCTCATTTGGGTATGGGTCAAAATTAAACCACCAGGAATCGGACCGCAGGGTTTAGTCCATGTTTCCATTTACCAGGGCAAGCCATTTTGGGCACCTATGTTTGACCCACTGCCATTTGGCCTCTACCAGAACGTTACCTGAGCATGGTGGTGCCAGAACCGTTCTGGGGTTCAAATCCAATCCAAACCACCAAACCGCCAAGCAAGGGTTACCTGAGCTATGGTGGTGCTAACAATTCTTTCCAACCCTAGGCAAGGTAGCAACAAACCTTGTTTTTGCAGCCCCTTGCTAAAAATGAACAGAGCCAAACAACAACACAAACAACTAAACACATGCCACCAGTTCGTGAAGTATTGTCATTAGCATTGTTGATGGCAAACCATTGTATGACATACCTGCCATGTCCCACGTTGAGGTCCCCCTTTTTGAGGTCCCCAACCTCCCAATGGAGCCGTTCGTGCTAGGGAGGGGATACAAGGGGAATCAATGAAATGAGGGCCTCCCAGAAGGGAGATTCATGAGGCCTTGACGGTGCACAGGTGAGACTGTCCACTTTTCTTATGCAAGGTCCGCTGAGAATTGAACAAGTCTTAGAAAAGGGGACCCACAAATGGGTATTCATTCTCCCTACTGAAGTGTGGCTTTGTTGAAAACGGCGTCTGTGAGGCCCATGAAAATGGGCTGGCCATTCCCTTGGTCAATATTCAACCTGAGGCTTTTTCGCAAAGACTTCAATTCTTTCCACCCTCATGTTAGCAACAAATCAACAATACAAAAAGCGGCGAATGCCAAATACTATGCAGGTAGCCAGCCAAGTTCCTTTGAGCTGCTATGAGGGTGGTCCCCATGTACTATACAGGTAAATGTTCCCACTAGGAAACCAGCCAATTCCCGAGCGCCCGGCGCCCGGGGCAGAAATGATCCCGAGACCTCAGCGTCGCAGAGCCAACCAATTTTGGGCCAACACCGGGGAATGCCACCGCCGGCTTCTTGTTTGTGGTTTTGTTAGAAAGCAGACATCTGAAAGCAACTCACAATTTCCGAGTCGTCTCTGTATCAGGGGAAAAGGATCTACGTCGCCGTCTTTCTTAGCCCATCGGCCGCGGTTTCCTTCCGCTGTAGAATCCTTCCCTGGAGTACTGGGGGTTATGATTCCGGCTTTCCTTTGGGTGACCTGCAAGGCTACCGCGAAAATCACACACACACACACCCACCCACCCACCCACCCACCCACCCACCCACCCACGCACACACACACACACACACACACACACACACACACACACACACACGTTCCGCTCAAAACTCCTCAGGCTTCGGCGGGAGGCGGTGTCGAAGTTGGACACGTAGCCCCGAATCTTGGAAGACATCCTGAGAGATGCGTTCGAGCCACTGGCTCTCAGAACCAAAATAAATGTTTACGGCCGGGAACACAAAGCACCCCCTTTGGGGAGTTTCTCGAAATGGGAGTCGGACCCCATTTTGGTTGGTATTCAAAGGGAAACCAATAGGGCAGCCCTATCTTGATTCGTTGAGCCGACCTTGCCTTGATATCGAATCTGAACTAGGATGTGTGTTCTACTGCGGCCAAGGGCGCAAGTTAAAAGTTTGTTTGCATGTCGATGACATGGTGCTTGGAAGTGAAGCTGTTGCCGGCTTCACGAGATGTTGCGAATGCTTTGAGAGAAGGAGTTCCTTTTGAGCAGAATGAGAGTCAAGGAGAGCTTCTCGGCAGGCGTAGCAGAGAGGAGATTGGTCCACTGCGATCAGTCACAAACAATACACCGAGCAACTTCAGGCTCTTCATATCACGAGGCAGCGTAGGATACATAAAGATTAAGATGTGACCGAACCGAATCGAGCGCTTGGTGAGGTGAATCGGCTTGTCAGTCCACACCAGACCTGGCAGGCCACTCGCTCATGCAGCAGCGCACCGCTTGTGCCAAGGTGAAATATCTGCTAGGGGTCACCAAGCTGGTTGCCATGGCAAGCGACTTTGCGGCAGAAGCAACTGCACTCCCAAGGGAGGACCAAATGGAGATCATGGAGTGACGCTTCATGGGCCAATGCGCAAGAAGAGCCAAGGGGGCTACACGGTGTGTGCTGTCGATCAGCGTGTGAAAGCTGCAACCTGCGCATTGTCATAACGGAGCAACAGGGAGCGGCAGGAGCCATCAACGCTGCCGAATTGCTTTCACTTGGCTGTGGGTCAAAACTATGTACCCAAAATGGAACCCTGGCAAATGGAAACATGGACTAAAACCTGCGGTCCGATTCCTGGTGGTTTAATTTGGACCCAATACCCACTTGGGGCCACTAGCGAGAAGTGGCTGAGGCGCTGAGGCTACGAGGTGTGGCTGCACGCGGACAAGGAGATCACCAATGTGCCAGTCACGGTATGTGATTTGATAGCAAGCCGGCAGTGAGGCGACATATGCTTTGCTGCTTTCAAGCAACGCGACGCATGAACGGATCAGTATGCGATTCGATAGCAAGCCGGTGTATGATCATTGCCGGTGAACGATGGAGAACAAGAGCACGGCGATCGAGATGCATTTGGTAAAGGCCGATGTGCAAAAGAATGGAGTCACGGTGAGGTGGCTATCAGATGCTGGCGGAAAGCAGGAAAGTAGCGAAGATAAAGAATTAAATCACACGCCCCAGCTCCATGCTCAAGCTTGCAGGGTAAACCAGACTGCCTGTTGCTGCTTGGGGATCCCAAGATTCCTCGGACCCCCCCCCTTTTGTCATGTTGTTGCGTGATTGAAAATAAGAGTAACCCTTCCCCCACAAGGGAAAACTAGGCACCACTTGGTAAATGGAAGCCTACCGCAAATTGGCGGCTTGGTTTGGTGGTTCGGTGATGTGGAGGTTTGATGGAGGTTAATGGATATATCTTCCCTATTTGGTGTCAAAGGAGCCGACAAGTCCCTTGAATATTCGCTTGGAGGTGCCTCTTGGCCTCACCCGAAGTTGCTTTGGGCTTCTGCCAGGTTTTGTTTCAAAGCAGGTAAGGGCCCGGATCAGCTGCCTTACCAAAAAGCCCAACACGAGATCGCCGTCACTTTCCCATGTTTTAGTAAGACAGTGATACCTGTAACGATGCCAGACCATCGCAACAACTGGCAGGTTGTCTAAAGTAAGGATGCCAGACCATCGCAACAAATGGCAGGTTGTCTAAAGTTCAAACTCATCTCACACCAGGGCCCCGGCGCGCCGCCCGATCCGTCACAGCCTGAGTGGAGAGGTGTGCAGCACAGAGAAGACGGGTCTGGTATGCAGACATCACTGACATCACTTTGACCAGCTGACAGCTGACTTTGAGGATTACAAATGAACGGGTCCTTGGATGTCTAAAGCCGCTCTCAAACGCGTGCCTGCCAGGAACAACCGCCAAACTAGAGGCAACACTGATCGAGGCAAGCTCCTTTGTTGGGGAGCAAATATGACATCTATGATTGGGACGAGTTCGATCCGCATCAACTTCCAAACCTCCCCATCCTTTCTGGCGGCTTTGCCTTTCCTTCCCTTTCAAAGTCACCTTTTGGTGGCTGTTCCGTGGAAACCCGGTTGCCCCTTTTACTGGGCTCGCTCAGCATCGGACCACAACATCCCTGACAGCAGCCGCCCTGACAGCAGCCCTGGCAGCCGCAGCAGCCGCCCTGACAGCAGCCGCCCTGACAGCCGCAGCCATAGAAGCCTTGGCCGCGCATCTTGGGTGAAGGGTTCTAATGGAAAACCTCCCAAAATGGGTAGGTCCTCTTGACCCGCTTCGAAACATCCATATGGTCACACCCACCCAGGCCCACCTTTCTACTTATTGCACGGAAAAGAATCATTTGCAGTAGATGCTCAGTGTCCACTTGGTTTGCAAATGCCTTGCAGAAAGCACAATAATTTGCAGTGTTTCTTGTAAGATTCTTTGTATTGTGTCAGATGTTGTCTGTGTGCTCGATGCCATACACGAATCAAGCCAGCAAAAACGTGAAAATCGGAAATCGCAAGCTGTCGCCCCTGACAGGAATTCGGAACTCAACAAACAAGGAAAACGAGCCATGGCACCCACCACATTCCACGGGGACAACCGGCGCCAGTGAATCACAGGGCAGCTGTCTTCACACGTTGTCATGCTGTTATCGCACTCGTCGAGAACGCATTCCTCGGACCTCACACATTCTCCAAGCCCTCACCCGGATTCCAAGTCCTTGCCATTTTCAAAGGTGGAGAGGTAAACTGGCTGCTTGGAGACAAAGCTGCTCAGTTTGTGGTATAACGGCCCTTTGCCAAGTGCCTGCGACACCATGCTTGTGGTGAAATCGCTTTGTTCCTGCACGTTTGGTCATCTTTGAAGGCCAGCAAAGCCAACAAAAGCAAAAACCAGTCTCATCACTCCCCGCGGTCCACTGTGGCGCCCACCCATTTTCAGGGACACGTGGGTCGCCTGAGCCCAAGAGCTCACAACATTCAATTGGATGCTGATTCCAGTTGATGAGCTTACCGGCTTTTGCTTCTCACCCGCTTCCGCTTGGCAAGACAATTCAAGGTGGATCTACGGTTCGGGTCATTCCCAGGCAGCCCTGATTTGTCTGGGGAAACATGTAGGTGGCCTCCCAGACCACTGCCGCATGCTAGCTGCCAAACCCACCAGCTCTAAGAATAATGCACTGGTCCCCACGTTCAAAGCGACAGACAGTGCACTCGCTCAGTTGCTGAAGGACTCCAAGGATAACCGGACAGAATCAGACATTTCCGTGGCCCCAAGTGCCACGGCAAATGGGGGCCATAGATCTTTGCTACTGAAGAGGTTACCTCGCAGACACCAGCATAGAAAGAACCCCACTGGAGATTTGAATAAAGACAAGTGTACAAAGGGAGCGTCTGGTTCCAACGGTAGAACGCTTCAATGTCCCCTGGTTCAACAATGGCGTCATCGAGAACTCGAAGGGGCAAAGTGGGTTGCCGAGGTTACAACCACTTACTAAGTCCCCTGTGCCTTCAGCCTCGTCCGGTCAATGCTTGTTGAGGGATTTCCCAAGAACCTGTTGTTCTTTTGTGTTTCCTAAAGACCAAAAACGGGGTGCCCCCAACAAAAAGACAAACCCCTTTTTTTGCTAGCACCGTGCACATTCTGCCTTGAAACTCTTGGTGGTTGGTCCTAGCTTCACCGGGCTGCGCATGATGGAACACGTCCGTGGCTTGAGTCCGAAATCAGGGGACCCATTTTAAGTCGTGCAACTTCTGGCTCACAAGTTTGCGCCTTCAGCTTGCCGTCCGAGAGCCGATGCACCTCCCGCAATGGTGTCAGTTTCGCAGTGGGAAGGGGGCCCCCAAAATGGGTGGGTGCTCTTCAAGTTCCATTCAATTGGTTCTAGGATGCTACTCGCATTCGCATGAGTGTCCTTTGCAAGCTAGGACCCGTATGTTGGAACCTGTCACAACAGGTCCTTGACGTTTCCCTTCAGGAAGCCTGAAACAGTCCACAAAGCCCCAAACTATTAAATCCCTGGTCGACATCTAGGATATTTTCTGTGGTACCCCCTTCGCCCTTTTCTTGTGCCACTTCAAACGGCGATCACTGAAGTACTGCTCCTGCTAAATAGGCCTTGGGCACAAACTGGAATGAACAGAGCTTGGCGCATGCAATCTGCTCTTCTTTGCGGGGCACAAGTCAAACAGAACACATCAAACAATTCCACTTATGCGAAGCAAATATAATACACACATCGGTACACACACACACACATAACATACACAAAGCACAACCTCTCGCTCTCCCTCTCTCGCACCTGGCAATTTACTGCTTGGCCAATGAGCTGCGTGCTCAGCGCCTGGCGCCATGGGTGCTGGTGCAAAGCTGAAGATACGCAAAAGATTCGGCAACAATTGGTGGCAGGTTTAAGCATAGCAAGCTAAGTGGACTCCATGATGTGAGCCGGGTGCACTACTTGTGGCAAGGCGCAACCCTGCTTGGAAAGGCTGGACCATCCAGCGTATCCGCCATGTGCAGCTCATTTGACAGGCGCCCCAAACTCCCATTGTGAGGCAGAGCCTCCCAAGAACCATTGCGGCCTAGTGACCAGTGACGCTTTGCGGGATCATGTTGAGGACCATGGGCCATACCCTTTCCATGCCTTCCCTTGCTATAGCTCCCAATCAGTATTGGGCAAACCCAACGCATCACAAATTGACTCGAGCTGGCTTTATCTAGTTGACAGCCAGGTGATTACGTAGGCCCTCCCAACAAGTCTGGAATGTTTGGACAGCGTGCGCACATGTCAGCACAACCCCGCTCAGGCTTGGAGGTGAAATCTTCACCAGCCGTGCACTGAGAAGACATGAAGTCACCAGCACCGGGGCACAATTGGTCCTACTATTCGGATAGGACTCGGATGCAATGTAAACCTGTGTTGATGTGTACGCGCATGTGCGCCCATGTCTCGTCATGGACAACAAAGAGAAACACTCGTACCGTACATACTGTGCAGAAGCTGCAAAAGGGCCCTTCCATTCAGTTTCAAGCTGGCTCCGGACGCTTATCTGTATGTCGCAAAAGCACAATCAGTCATGTCTCTTTGCCGTCTTGCTCCACGCAAGCTCACGGATGGAAAGTGCCGGCAGATGGTGTTTGGCTGGGAACTTCCACACTCATCCTAAGAGCTTCTCCACTACCCAAACCATCGACAAGCTTCTCCAAGCCAGTATAGCGGTGAAGCCGGCGAAGCCGATTGGCGGAAGCTTCTAAAATAAAAAAGAACTATAGTTATCTTTCCCTTTCCCGTTTGTTTTCTCTCGTTTTTCTCGTTCTCTTGATCTTGCTGCTTTACTTTCTCATTATCTTTCTCTTTCTGTTCCTTACGTTTATCTTTCTTTTCTTTGTTTCTGTCTATCCTTTTCTCTTTCCCTTCCTCTTCTTTCGTTCTCTCTCCTTTTCTCCTTCTCTTTCTCCTTTTTTCCTGCCTGAACGCCTGTCAATCGAGAACATAATTGGCGTAGATCGCGTGATCGCGCTATCTGAGCAGTGAGTTTTTTGGCGGTCCCGGGCCCATACACTTCTTGCATGCCTACGGAAGCCTCCGCGAGCCTACGCCGCTGCAAAGGGTGCCTACGCGAGCACGCGGACGCCTACGTGGGCAGATGCTCAGTTCAAGCGTGCTACACGAAGTGCACTTTGGCAGCTCCAGCTAGAAAATGGCAACTGTTCAGTATGAGTGTAGTTTTGGCAGCTCCGGCTCTAAGATCATCTTTGCAGTGCAAGATAGAACCCCACATCTGTCCAAGGATCGCTGCTAGAACGTACTCAAGATGCCTTGAAAGCCTACGCGAATGCCTGCGCAACGACTTAAACGAGGGCAAAAGAAGCAAACTCTGTAAAGCTTGGCAAACAGCATTGAGCCATGGTTAGCTCAAACACCTACGCGAAAAGCCTACGCGAGGGGTCGCGCAACAGCCTACTGCCTACGCGCAGAAGCCTACGCGATCCCACGCCGCCAACCAGAATGGCCTCCGCAAAGTACACGCCAGACGCAAGCCGCGTTTTGTATAAACCCTTTCAGTTGATTGAAAGCCGCTGCTCATCTGCCTGTCTTTGCAGATCTATCTATCCTCTTACCTGTCTGCCTGTCTATGTACCAATCTATCTAGCACGCTACGCAGCTGCCTAGCCATCTATCTATCAGTCTTTCTTTTGTTCTTTCTGTCTCTCGATCAACCCCTACCCTTCAATCTAACTATCTATCTATTTGCTTGCCTATCTGCATATCTGCCAGCCTGTCTGCCTATATCTACATTGATATCTGTTTCTCTTCCCTGTCAGCATGACCTTTGCGAAAGCGTGGCGCCTGTCACGAAACCTGTGCCTCACCTTGCAAAACTGCTGCGGTTAATTGCCATGAAATCTGCAGCGCACCTTGTGAAAGTGCTGCACCTGTCACAAAATCTTCACCACGCCTTGCAAAAGTGTCGTGCGCCAGTTTCCACGTCCGTCCGAATGGGACTTGCGACACGTCCGGGCCAGCATTGCCACAACGCTGCGCCTCTCACGCAATCTGCGCCTGAGTCTGCACTTGTTTCCATTTGTCTCCCCGTGTTTTCTCACTCGCTTCCTGGGCTGGAAGCTGTCACGAGATGGTCTGGCTTGGTCAGCCCTTTGTCTCCCCACTTGTTTCCTCACGCGCTTGCTGGGCTGGACGCTGTCACGACATGGTCTGGCTCGGTCCGCCCTTTGTCTCCCCACTTGTTCGCATTAGTCTCCCCACTTGTTTCCTCACGCGCTTGCTGGGCCGGACGCTGTCACGAGACGGTCTGGCTCGGTCGACTCTTTGTCTTCCGCTTGTTTCCCCTTTTGTCTCCCCACTTGTTTCCTCACGTGCTTGCTGGGCTGGATGCTGTCACGAGATGGTCTGGCTCGGTCAGCTCTTTGTCTCCCCGCTTGTTTCCTTTTGTCTCCCCACTTGTTTTCTCACGCACTTGCTGGGCTGGACGCTGTCACGAGATGGTCTGGCTCGGTCGGCTCTTTGTCTCCCCGCTTGTTTCCTTTTGTCTCCCCACTTGTTTCCTCACGTGCTTGCTGGGCTGATGCTGTCACGAGACGGTCTGGCTCGGTCAGCTCTTTGTCTCCCCGCTTGTTTTCTTTTGTCTCCCCACTTGTTTTCTCACGCACTTGCTGGGCTGGATGCTGTCACGAGATGGTCTGGCTCGGTCAGCTCTTTGTCTCCACGTCAGGCTGCGGCCACGAAACCTGAGCCAGAATCGAACAAAGCGCTGCGCTTGCCACGCACTCTGCACCTCAGGTTGCAGGCGTGCTGCGCCTGTCACGCAAACTCAAGTCGCGAACTGCGCGCGCGTTCGTGCCAATGGTCCCGGGTGCGAGACCGTTCGGCAGAGACGCCAAACCTCGCAGAAGGTCACTTTTTTGTTTTCGCGATTTCTATTCTCCCACCACACGCCCACGCATGTTTTCTCGCATGCATTCATTCTTTCGTATCTGTGCGCAAACCTACCTTCAACTAGTGTCCCAACATGGAAGTTCCTTCTAAACTTCCTTTGACAATGTACCATTTTGGCTCGGAGAGTGCTTGTTTGGACGTCAAGCCAAAGATGCCTCCTCAATTTGGTGGGCGTCGTGTCCTAATCCTTTTGATTGTTCCCGGTCTGCCCAAAGAAGCTGCTGATGCTTAACACGGCTCAACATCGATTCCTACCAGCTAAACACATGGGAATCATTGAAGGGGTCTACCCCTTGATGCATTCCGAACCAAACAGGGGGTCTACTTGCCACGCTTCTTTGCGTTCTGTCCCCCAACCTTCCAGAATAACGGGCTAGCTTGTTCCAGCCCATTGACCCTGGCAGAAAACATGGGCGAGTTGCCCAATTTCTTGGAGAAACATGGGCAAAACACCGAACAAACGAGGATTGCGAGAGTGAAATCCACTGAACAGGACGTTGCTCAATGGTCACAATCTGGGAGGGTGCGAGTCTTCTCTGGATGGGCACTTGGACCCCAGGATGCAGCAGTGGGGGTGTCAAACTGACTTCCTGGCATTTCTCGCCTGCAGGTCCGGGTGGAGCTCCGCAGTCCTGAACTGCGCATCCCTCGTCAGTGCCGGCGAGGCGATGAACCTTCGATCCAAATCGATCCGACGTCCGCGTTGGCTCGGAGGCTTCCTGATCCAGTTCTTCAGGACTACCTACGGAGCTCCCCACGAGATGTTCCCCTCGGGGTTTTACGTATTGGGATGGCCCCGGGGTGTTCCAAATCACGGATGGGCAAACGGGGTATAATATACCCGTGATTTAGATATTGCGGATGCATATCTCATTCAACCCCTGGTAGTAGCGTTTTGGCATCCTAGATAGCTGATCAAGCTGGCTGAGAAGTAAATCCACCAAGGTTGCAAGAGTTGTAGGGTAAATCCTACTTAGGGGCCACATGCACAGGGCTCAACTGATCGCATAGTCCCAGCATCAATTTGTTTCTTCCCTTGAGGACCTAAGTTTGTGCATGTATTCAAACATGTATGTGATACACATTTGTGTGCACGGATGGATTGCAAAAATCCTGAACCGAAATCTTCACCTAGTTCGGCAGTGCGGGTGCAAGCAAGTAGGAGGCTGAATGGTGAGCGATTGGTGCGAGTCTGGTAAGAATGGATGCCTGATCCGTGCAGGCCAAGAACTCGAAGAAAGCAGACATGCCGGACCAGTTACTCTCAAAATGTGCATACATGATCGAGTGTCAAGTACGGCTATGCCATGGAGACAGGCAGACTGAGAAGTTGACGGCCAAATGATAATCTGACACACTGCGACTTGATTGCTTTAGCTTTTCCCCTCTGATGCCATGCTCCGGTTTCACCACTGACACTAAGAACTCAGCTTGAGAAGTTGCCGTGCGGAAACCCTAGAAACGACATGGGATACTCAAAGCAGGTGGTTGGTTCTTCCAACCAGCGGCCGTGAGAACACTGATCAAAGTGTACTTCCCTCGTTTCCAAACAAATTTCATATTTAGAAGCATGTTTGGAAAGCAGCTATCGAAAACAAGGGTTGCTCATCAGATTTGATTTAGTTGTTCATAACTCATTTGATAATCAAATGCAGGAAGAAACTTAAATTGCTGCTTCAAATCTTTTAAAACCACATCATAATCAGTTCACAAACTGTGTGTTGCTTGTTTCATTCCATTTAACTGTTTATGAAACTCGAATGATCATCATCAACTATGGAAATGAATCCCAAATTAAATGGCTGCTTCGAATTCAAGTCAAACTGTGTTGTACCTGTGCATTTCTTGTATGATTTGACTTAAGTTCTAATTGCATCAAAGTTTAACAGATAGAGAACGCTCCTCTTGAAATTGCTATTTGAACTTGGAATCAACTTCAATTGTAAATGGGCTCGATTTCCTTAGTCCACTCAAATGCTCAGCAGCAAACACGGACTGAGCCAAGCCACAGGAAAATATGTCAAACAACATGAATATGCGCCTCGGCACACACATACATGCAACATACGGTGCCTGTCAGCATCAGTGTCATTGTGTTGACCGTTAAAAAAGTCAAAGTGGGCACTCCTCGTAGTAAACTAGAGTCTAGAGTAGGGTCTCAAAATGGAATTTAACTTGAACGTGTTCCATCTGGGGAATCTGCAATCCTTAATCTTCGATCCAGAGCACAATGGATCCAAAGCAAAAAGAACAACATTCCGAAACCGCAAAACAGCTTTAAGCACCGGGACGCGCCCTGCATCTGAGCCAACAGGCAATACGTACAAAACCAGCCGGGCAAACCGCAGAAACTGACCACAAAACCCAAAACCAAACAAACCTTCAAAAACACAAACAACCAAGAAATATGTCAGGGGCAAAGTGCTTCCACAACAAAAGACGAAACACAGAACATAAACAGAACAAAGGATCTTCGAGAAGGTTTGGGTTGGCAGGTTGTGTGTCCCCTTTTGTTGTCTTGCTTGAACCTGTTGATGTGCTTTTAGTTCCTGGTTTCCGAATTTCTCTTTCTGGGGAAGCCAAAAAATATTGCCTGAGAGCCTTCAACTCGAAATCAGAAAGCCAAGCTGGATTCCGGAAACCCTTCTGTCAAGAAACACGCAAGGCATCTGACTTAATTACAAAGACATGCTTTTGAGGTGCGCGGAAAAAAAATCACTCAGATGATCCCTCTCAACTTTCTGTTTAGAAGTGGCATGTCTCACTTATGGATTGATGAAAGAAGGCCCTTGCTAACCAATTGGAAATCCATTGAGGAAGTTCAGTCCTTTGATTCTGTCTGGGGTACTGAAAAGGAAAACTAATTCTACTCACTGCTCATTAAGCGCTGCTTGTTGAGTTCCGGTGGCTCTGCATTACGAGAAGGGGATCTGAGCAGATTACGTCGATTACTAGAATGTCCCGCAAAATCGCTGTTGTTCATTTGTTTGGAAAACCGAAAGGGGCGGAGGTTCCCCGAAGAAAAAAAACACAACAAAAAACAACATACTCCTTTATCAGAGCGAGCGATGTTGACGGTTGCATGCTACTAACTGCTGGTCCTGCAACAGAGTGATTACTTCAAACAATCCCATGGGATGCCGTGCACAAACAGATGTCAGTTCAACATACAGGATCGCTTTGAGGGCAACATGCAAAGGACTTCCAATAGTCTGAAGCAAAAGCATCTTGGCTTTGCTCATGGCTCTGTATTCAGTAGGGGCACCCTAAACATCCGCCAAGGCACCCGTAACCGTGCCGCTGATTGTAGGACTTGACGGTCCCTTCGATGGGATGCCCCTGACGGAGCATGGCGGAGCTCATCCTCAAATCAACTGAAGATATGAGTGAGGGTTCCTTCGCATTCAAGTGGGGCTCTGTTTTTTGAGGTGACCCTTTTTAAAGGTTGGCTAAAAGGGGATCAAAAGGAAAAGCGCCACGTCCAGGCTTCCGGATTTTTGGCACATACCCAAGTCATGGTGGGAATCTATCGACCCTCAGGCTACTGCAAGTAAACGAGGCAGGGAAAGCGACGGACAGGGGAAGATATAGCCCAGGATCTTCCCAAATGCCTGCCCAGCCAGTCCCCTAGTTGTCTTTGTGGATGATCATCTGCATATATTGCAACAAATCCAACCTGAAGCGGGCATGCAACTTGCTTACTCCGAGTACCACGCCCTGTGCGGCTCGAAGCATGGTGCATCCCGAGCGCCGCAAGGCCCTCAATTTCCTACGTCCCGCACGGCCGTGGGCTTCGCCCAATGAGGGAGCACAGGAAGCATGGCGTCAGTTCCTTCCATTGGCTTCTTCAAGCCCAGCCGTGCCAGGAACTCCAGTAGAAGCTGCTTGAAGGCCATGCTCTGATCGGAAAGAAGAACTCTCCAAACCGAGCTGGGACGGTATCACGCACCAGCACGAGGACAAAGTTCTGGAGACATCATCGGCGCAACAAAGTAATTAGCTTTTGCTATGTGCTTGTAGCATGCATATCACAGTTCACGCGGGCAATCCTCCCCCGGCTTTTTCTCTACATCAACTGGGGCATGGGAATATTAATACATTACACATGTTCTCCAGTCATTCCAGGGACCGTCCGCTCAGGGCTTTAGCGGGCTATAACCCTGGCTTTTCACCACTGTAGAGTTACACATTGTTTGGTCTTTAACCCTATTGTAAGTTACCAACCACTTGCCAAGCAGCCAGCCTCCTTACGCACGCATGAGTCAAACAATTAACACATGGTAATAAGGTGGTCAGCCCGAAACCATGTAAAGATTAAATGGGGGCAGCCGCACGCAATTTGTGGTCGTGACAATTCCTAACCTTCGCTTACCCGAGTCAGTTTTGATTGAAGCTCAAATGACCAACCGGACCTCCAGCGGACTTCCGTGGCAGAAAAGCGCACCCTTTTGTGAAGCGGAACCCTCTCCGCAAAAAAGGGAACAAGCGCCCCCCCCCCTGGCCCAAATGGCCATAAAGATCCACATTGAAATTCTCATAATCCCTTTTCAACCAGCTAGAACCATGGAAGCTCCCAGGAGTTTGGAAGACTTCCATCAGAGGCCTGGGAGCTTCCATGCTCAGATGTACTCAAATGGCTGGTCAAAACCAATGGGATCCCATGTTTGGGGTTTTCGGTGAATGTTCCACCCATTTTAGAACCTATTGGTTGGGGTGCACCCATTTTAGAACCGACTTTAGTGGTTGGATTGGGTCCCTGGTCATGGCATGGCCCTTTTGCCCGGCGCGGCCTCTTTGGCCTCCACCGGCCCCGGCGGCAACGGCCCCGGCGGCAGCGGCTCGGAGCCCGCCTGGCGGGCAATCGGAGACGGCATGCGTAGGTTTTGTTTTTCTCAGGGAAGCGTCTCGAGCTCAGAAAGAGAGAACCTAAGCCGGGCCCCTGGTTTAAAGGGAACCTAAGGATAACATTTGGGCACTCTTCTTGCGTATAAAGCTCGAGTTTAGATGACACAACTGGTAGGTGATCAACCTCAGATAGTTCTTATCACCTATGATCGACCCTGCAAGCAAAGTGATAGACCTTCCCTTGAGGAGTCGAGCAAAGTTGATCACCCGAACTGAGGGAGCCAAGTAGCTCTTAGTCGGGAGAACACAAACTATGAAATCTTCCTAGCGGTTCTGTGGTTGTAGTTTCCTGTGGGGCAGAAATCAAACAACTCATAATCTCCCTAGGTGACCTTTGCAGTGGGAAAACTCGATGGCACTTTGAAGGACAGTGAGGGAATCCATCGAACAAGACTGGCCCAAGGGCATCATTGAAGTCTCTGGGCCCTGCAAGTGAGACGAAAGGGGGGGCATGTCCTTTGGGGTTGACCATATTTAAGGGAACCGCGTTTTTGTAGATGGTTGGCCAGTCTGAGACCCGAAAAGTTCAGGCTAGTTACAAAGGGGACATACTAGAAAGTCTGGTGGGCGTCTGCTTTTTTAAACAGGGCTTGTGGTTAAATTGAAATAACAAAACCCAGCTGAGTGGATTGGTCAGAAACAGCCCAGACTTTCGGTCTAAAATAATCTTCCCTGTAAGCTTCAGGAAGTTAGTTCACTGGTGTTGAGGGGACACCACAAGAAAACCACACAACAGATTGCAACTAACACACAAGCGAAGACCGGGAATGTATCATGGATGGTGGTTGATTTATACAGCATTCAGAGAACAAGTCGGATTTGATGTGTTTAATGTTGACCATGATCGCCTCTCCCCCAAACAAAGGATACCCTAGTGCTGAGTAACTATCGCGGAGACAGAACCTTCCTGTAGCACAGTTGCAGCTTCCGCCAAGAAGCTTGATTTTGCACTTCGTTGATGCATTGCTGCCGGCTCGAAGTTTTGAATCTCCACATGATTGAGTCTTCCTGAGGTACTGGGACCAAGTTACACATGAAAACTGCCTTAGTACTGAGAATGAGTAGTTGCCTGTGTTCTAATGTAAGATCTGAATCAAGTGTTGAAGGTCGCCTTGGTGTGTGTGTACCAAATGCCGGACAACATGTCTGCCGGGATTACTTGGTCTGCGCGGCCAATTTCGCTTCAAGATACGGATAGATCAGTTCCATTTTAGGGATTTGGGCAACCGGGGTCGAAAGGGCAACACACTTGTTTTGTTCTTAAAAACCACGCTACCAAATCTTGAGGTGTCTGGAGACTCAAAACTCACAACTCACTTGAGACTTTCCTTCAGCTGGGAGCCTGTGAGTTGCCCATGCTCCCCATCCTGAGTCGCAAAGGGGCGCTTGACTCTCTGGACCCCGGTGTGCCCAATTTAAGGGGCGAAACAATAACATAATGTTCAGTTTATCTGTGAGCATGACTTCATGTGGCTTCAAGGTACCCCCCATAACCCCCCACTCCAATGGTTTGTGCCCTCGTCGGCACACTTAAACCTGTTCGTGACGTTCACCCACAGCGCCATGCCGCACAAAAGTGAGCTTGTTGCGGGAACAATGTGTTTCCCGAATCCTTGCACACAAGCATCACACACACACACAAAAGACTCTGAATTCTCGCAAATAGTTCGAACAGTGCCAGGCCTTGGGCAAAATTACCATCGGCAGCTTCTTTCGGCTTTGCTTGGACTGCGTCTCGTTTTACACGAGCGGTTCCGATATGGCAACTGGCCTGGAATCGGTTGGGGCTTGCACTAGACTCAAACCATTGAATTGGCCTTTGAGGCTTGGAAATGGAGCAATTTCCAGCATTAGCTGGAGAGTCTCAATCAGTTGCGTCAACGGAAGATGCTGCTGGTTGCGGGCCAATCAGTTGCGACCTCCACGGAACATCCTGCTTGTCTTTTGCGGGCAAACCAGAAAAGCATTCCACAAAGACACATGAGTCATAATCAAAACCGATCGGTAATTGTTGATTGAAATTGGTCTACCTCTAAACCATGCTTCAAGAACTAAAATGGCGGCCCAAGGCACCCAGTTGTGGTTCATTGGGATTCTCCCTTACCAAGCCTCATTGGCTCACATCCGTATCTTTCTTTTTCGTTGACCCCGGATTAATAAACCCCTATTTATTAATATAGGCTGGTCCCCTCCAGTCTGAATCCCCACAAGACCAGGGAAAAGCACCCCTGGTAAGACCAAGCAGGTTGGTTGATTCATATAAATACTGGGTCGACATTTTCTAGGTTTCATGGGGTTTACATGGGTTTACCTCGAGTGAATTCATCCGGGGTTGACATTATTAGGGACTCAAGCCCCCGGCGGTTGGACCTGGCACCCGCAGGCCTTGCGACAGTGGCCGAAGGACAATTCGTGCGGCTGCGTCTTGGTTGGAGGGGGGGGGGTCCTTTTGGCGTCCCCAAAAACAAGTTGGGGAAAGAAACAATTCCAAACATGCCCCGCCCCAACAACAAAACAATGGTGGGCTTCCTTATGGCTTCCTACCAAGAAAAACAATTGGGCACGAACGCCAAAAAAAGGCGATCGCCCAAATGGGTTGTTGTTCCGAGCAAAAGATCTGACGTAATTATAGGTAGGTTTTGATGGAAAGTCAACTTGTTTCCAAAAGTTCTTAAGGGCCTATTGGTGAGGGCCTTTTGGTGACGCCAAAGACCAGCCGTGAGAAGTCAGCCTTGGTTTGGCTACATGCGTTGAAGTTTGGGTCAAATGCGAAGGTCAGTTTCAACGGCTGAACAGAAGGCCTGGTCGAACTCTTGGGCCTTGGCGCAAAGGTGCTGACGGCACCGTTTTGTTTTGTTTTGTTGTTTTGTTGAAAGGACACCAAAACGACACTGCCCATTTCGAGCGAATATTGTTCCTCGTGGCAACTTTCACCAGGCTGGTCACCTCCATCATGCTACCGGAACCTCAAAACAGGTGGATTCTCTTTGAACCCGCAAACCATCCCGGGAAAGGGCACCTTGCACGCTGGTTTAAAGCCTTCTTTGCATTTTAGATGGCCCCAATAAATGGGGCTCCAATAAACAAAGGTTCCCCTATGACGAAACACCTGCGCACCTGCCAATAGGATGTAGTGGTGTCAACATGTTCATGGCCTCACGACTACGCTCAACGGCGTGAAGTGGCAGGCCGTGTTTGTAGTGCAAGACTCTGAACATGGACTCTGCTTCCATTCTGACAAACCATTAAGGCTGTCAAAGCATGGCTTGGACCATGTCCAAGTAGCGGGCTCCCCAGCGGTGGTTTGCCTTTCGGGTTCCCGTTAAGCCAACACCGTTCAACACCCCACAAAGGAACACACCAACCTCGTGGAGGGGTCCCTGGTTGTGGATGGGCAACATCTTGCGCCAGGCACCGGTGAGGTGGTTTGAATCAATGGGGGTTCATCCATTACAACTGGTGCGGGATCTTTCCCGTCCACAGTACCATCTGCAATTTGCTACGAGAATTGGTCGTCTGAAATTCAAACGTATGGCATCGAATGATAAATAGTCCCCAATTATCGGATCCTCATGGTGAGCGCGTTGTTGTGCTGCAGATGTACCCCATTGGCAGAATCCATCCTGCTTCATTTCCACCATATGTGTACTAGTATAAGCACTGTTGTTTAGCAATTCACACAATGCAGCCTGCTTCTCGGCATCTTGAACGTCCCACACTTGGACATCGAGCAGTTGCATTTGTTAGCTGCTTTCGCTGCTTTCTTCTCTGGACAGCCAGAGATGTGTTGGCAAACAAACCCGAAATGGGCCGGTCCTTTTTGTTTGCCATGAAACCCCGAAACAAAAGGTATCTGCAAACAAAAAAAGGAAAGTACCCACGCCCGAAATGGTCCCTTCCTTTTTGTCTAGCGTCAAAGCCAAAAAAAAACGTGACATGGCCATGGGTCAAAATCCCGTACCCCCAGTCCACATCCCACTCCCTTCTAAAATGGGTGGTGCACCGAGAACTCCAAAATGGTATCCAAATCGGTTTTGACCACCACAGACCCGCTCGGCACGACCTCCGACCCGCTCAGCTCGCCTGTTGGCCATAGCAGGCCATGGGATCTGCGGGGCGCCAAGTTTTGGTCCATTGGACTTGAAGGAACGGAGAATGGCTCGAGTTACAGGTACCTGACCCCTCAAACATCCTCAAACTTCCCGTACAAATGGGTGATTGCCCCAAACTGACGGTGATTTCCCCTTTTTTAGGATCCAGGTATGCGCCTCCCCAACACAAAATGCACCTAAAAGAAGGGCACAAACCCAAAAGAGCCTCGGGGTTTGAAAAGGGAGGCGACAGAAAACAAAAGCACAACTTTAGACCCCGGATTGGGGGGTTTTGTGAATTCTAGAAACCGAGAATGAGTCATCCCTGGTCGGACAGGCATGTGACCGCAAGGATTAAATGCTGGTTTCATCTGGTTTCTTTGGGTATACACCTGTTCGACGCATGAATAACTCCTGGGTATGTTCGGATCTGAGTGTCTTTGTTTGAGGGGGCCCTATTCGGGTTGTTGCGACGGACAACCAGGAGGAAACCATTTTGGGGTTCCCCTATTCTGGGACAACCGGAAGAGTGTTGACGTACATCACTGCATTTGCCCGTCTGGATCCCCTGCTCCCCTCGGGTCCGCGCTGCAATAAATGTGGGTGCCCCAGTTACAAACCTACAGCCTTTGCATGTGAACAACAGAAACATTGAGGTTCCCCTGCGTACTGTCGGCGATCAACTGTGAAGCTGATATGCTGTGGCACTTGGGCCAACATCGGGTCGGGTATAGTTCTTCCCAAAACTCATGGACAATAATCCACACGGGCGGCTTTCGCGCGGAGACAAGCAACGCATTCTTGCATGAGTTATTGCCGAAATTGGCCAAATGCCCATATCGGCATGCAACTGGGGAAAAGTGAGAAAACAACAGGCCAGAAGCTTTAGAAGAACTAACTTTCGGACAAGGAAAACGAAAGGACCCATCTTTCTGTCCACGCTGGTGGCGTTGTCTTCGGAGCAGGCCGACCCCCGGCCTTGCGCTTGATAGCCGTACCTAAGCCGACAGATGAAAATGCGCCCTTGAACAGCAATCTGTTTCGCTTTTGGGGGCCCGCGGTCCGCCACTTTGAGACAATCCAATGTCCTTAGCGAATGGGTGGTTGCTTGCTGAGGCTGGAAAGATTTGGCAAGGGCAAAAGCCTTCACCGAATTGCACAGTATTGTCTTTCCTATTAACGCGGGAGCGAATCTGGATGGGTTTGTGTCCAACGTAGAGCACCCACCAGCATTGTGGTTGTCCCTGTATTTCAGCCTTTTGAACCAACCCAAACAGATTATACTCCCGACAAGCCTGCGACAAAATGATGTTGCCAATGGAGATCACCATAACCGGCCAACTTGCTTTCACGGCAGACGAGGTGCCTCAAAACGCATGTACATCCTGGGCATGTGACTGTTCTTGAGCAGGAAATAAGAAATCCCCAAGGTCCTTCATGGGAAAGCTGGTCTTACCCCGGAGCTCGATATGATTATGATATGATTGGTTCCACTTAGGAGCACCACACAAATCCAAAATGAACCTGCCAAGGCCACTACTCACGGCGCATCCTAACCGCGGCTTCCAGCCAAGGCAAGCGATTTGGGTGTGGCCCCAGAAAGTAAGCGAGTCATGTTGACATTTGCACAAGATGTAGTGGTTCGCTCTCATCTAGTGCCCCCTACAGACACGAACAGGAGCCGTTCCGCAAGCCCGTCCGTCGGACCCAATCCGCCTTCGGACTGAATCCTTTGGACTGAGTCGTCAAAAGGCAAACCTAAACTAGACAAAAGCCACGAACCCGAATGCAGCTTACTACAAGCTATGCCGTCGATGTTGTTTCGCGACGCTTGGGGTAACATTCTGAGCAGCATGTGTGAGACCCCGACTTTCTGCAACGAAAGAAAATGCTGCAAGTACCACACCAGGTCGCCACGCGCCGTCTCTCGAAAAGATCACAGCAACACTTGCGGTTGCCAATTCTTACGTTTTCTTTGCGACAGCCTTTGCAAGCTGCTGCCTGACTAGCGTGCTCTGCTTGCACGCTTGCTGCGCTTGCTCTTTGCATTCGCACTACGACTTTCTAGCTGCATTGCTTCGCAAGCCGTGGTGTGCGACATAAGGCGCACCTACCGCAATTTGCCCAAGACAATTCCCGAACAAGCAAACACGCCCAGCGACAGCCTCAACAAGTCAAGCCCCCATCCAAGACATCCCCAGAGACGTGCCGCAAACACATCCCACAGACAACCTCCGAGGACAGGGCCCAACAAGGCTCAGAGACAGCCACCAAACACACCATTGACATCCTTAAAGACACAAGGACACCCGCAAAGACATTTCCTAAAGGCATCCTCCCCGAGACTCCCCGGAGTCCGTCCCCAAAGACATCACCCCGTAGAGGTGTAGATATGGAACAACCTGGCAACATCAATTCAATGATCCTTTGGTTCGGGCAAACCTGTATGCCAACCAAACAAGCGGATATTTTAAGTAAGTAGGCTGCCGGCTTGTTGTTGGCTTACTTCCCAGGATTATCTCTTCTTGCGACAACTTACGGTTGGATCCCTGAATATTGAAGGGAACAAGGACAACCACTACGCGAATGACTAGGGTTTCGTGGTGTGTGCTTGGTTCATAGAATGCCCATCATGGTCCCTCAAACCAAAAGAAACAAACGATGCTTGCGATGGCCCCTACACGATTGTTCCAAACACGTCATTGAGAGAACCCTAAGAAACAGCCCCGATTCCCGGCCCTGAGATGGACTAGCCCGCGAACGCAAGCCACGAGTGACTTGGACACGCGAAAGCGCTGGAGCTGCTTGCGCCTGACTTATTCAATGAGCAAACGTGCCACGGCTCAAAAAGGAACCAGCAGGAACAATTCAAGCTCCAGGCCACATGATATCTTCAAACATCCACCAAAACATGATGATAGTCTGACCTTTCCAAGAGATCATGTTACAACCAGTAAACAACACAAGTTGCCGCGTAAGCCCGACAAAATTATAATAGGGTCTAAATCTTGTTTTTTGCGCTTAACTGTTTGCGGTCCCCTCAATGTTAAACTACAGAGAATATTTGACCAAACCTCACACATAAGCCACTGGATTTCTCCCTTGAAAGTGAAGCACTTTGGGATGTCCAAAACAGCGACATTCAGAGACCCTGTTCTGCTGTGGATGGCCCCAGTCGCGATGGATGAAACCCCACGAAAAACAACAACTGGGGCAACACGGCAAATGCCAACTGTATTTTTTGAAGTGGGTTTTGTCAAAAATAAGTTGAAAGTTCACTTGGCAGCACGAAGCTATACATTTTGCCTGGTTCCGCGAAAACAAAGCAGACCCCAAAAAAGCAAACAAAAACAGGGGGGGGGGGGGGGAAAAACGTGGAGCTCCTTCCGGGGAAGCTCGAAGAGCGGTCCGGTCCCTCCGGCTTCGGCGGTTGATTCGCGGCTCCAAGCTCGGCACTGTATTCCCATCTGTTGGTAGGCCTCAGATCTGAAAACCCAGGTCGCCCAACGCGGATCCTGGAAGAACCTGCGATTTGGGTATGGGTCAAAACCCAAATCGAACCCCCAGTGAACATCCCAATCCAACCACTAAAATAGGTTCTAATATGGGTGGTGCAGAAAGCCACAAAATGGTACCATTGGTTTTGACCCACAGCCGTTTGGGTATGGGTCAAATTTAAACCAGGGGACATAAATTTGACCAACAGCCATTTAAGAAACACATGGACCAACCATGGGTGTCTGGGAATGACCCTGGGTGTTGGGAATGACCCTAGGGATTCCCTTGAAGGAAACCATACAGGATGGTTTATAAGGCTCATTCCCTCATTCCCTGCTAAGAACCGGCAAGATAATTTGCGCAGCTTGGACAAATCCGACAGATAGGCCTAAACAAGCGGCCAAATGCTCCGAGCAAGCCACAAGCAGCTTTTCGTTTCGGGACGCTTCGCCAGCCGGCTTTGAAGATAGGAGTGCTTCTCAAAACGGAGGAACCCCCTCTGGCTGGCGCTGAGAGGGGAACCAAAAAGAAACCCTTTTGGGGGAGTACTATTTTGAGAAGCCCCATGGAAAAAGGAACAGACAATTCAAGCATAACGTGAATCCTTCCGGGATAGCAGATACAACGCGATGATGTGTCTCAGTGGCCAGCGTGAGGCCATTGGTGAGACAAGGCAGCTTCAAAGCTCAGTTGCCCAGTGGCCATATAGAACCAAGGCACACCTTTGTTGGTTTAAATTCAGAACCCCCCCAACACACAAACACAAGGATCAGTTGCCCGGCTGGTATCTGCAAAACAGGATCGCCCTGCCCCCCAACTTGACGCTTGGCGCGCGGGCGTCCATGGCGGGACACTGCTGCATGTACTGCCTCATTCGAAGACTTCTGATCTCATGGGGTTTGTGGCCGGAAGATGGAGTGGAACTTCCCAAGCAGCAGAAAACAAGAATAATGCAAGACCTGCCAGGATCCCGACGGTTCTCAAATTGGTTTGGCGAGTGGCCATCTTTGGTTACCTTTATTTTTCGCGAGTTGTCTTTTTCATATTATTTTTTTGGGGGGGAAGGGGCAGAGTAGGACACCCTGTGGAAAATAGCTTTCTTTGATACCCAAGTGGAGCATCCCTATGAGAAGTGTATCACTTCAACTTGTGGATTCCCCTTCAGCTTCCCTCTGGGTGGTTTGGATTGGTGGTTGGAGGTTAAGTAGGGTTGGTTTCCAATTTACCCTCTACAAGCACCCGGGGTTGATATCCTCAAACCACCAATCCAGAATCCAAACCACCACTAAAAACAACCTGACCCTTGGTGTCGCAGAAAGTGGTGCTAAAACATACTAGCCCGAACTCATGCCTAAGCTGCCAATTGGACCAAACTCCCACAGATTAGACTTTGCTGCGTGGATTTCCACTGTGCAGTACATAATCGTTGGACTTGACCTCCGCGTGGCTTTTGACGGTTCCTGCACGTTGCAAAACCTGGCAAGACACCATCGTCGCTTAAAAGAGAAGTTGGTGGCAAGCAGGGGCAAAGTCCGGAATGAGACTAGATAAATCAAAAGTGGCCCTCTAGGGAATGGCTGGAGAGCGCAGGGGTACTCCCATATTCCCTAGGAACAAGCAGCGAAATGAGCAGCAAGCAAATAGTGGATGAGTAGCCTTTGTCTACTCATGCTCAAACCACAATTCCCAAACCAACCTCTTGTCGGAATGGTCCATGGCGTACGTTGCTTAACCAAGCTAACCCTGGCGCGCCAGAGCCTACACACAAGATCCAACGGCAAGAACACCGAAATGGAGCATGAAAGGTCCGACAACCAAGCTTGCCAAATTCCAAGTCTAAGTCCCGTTCAACATGAACCCCAGTCTAAGCAGCCGTTGGACATCGTCTAGGGCAAAGTAGAATAATGTAGCTGCAAACAAACGAATCCCCAATCAAGGGACCTTTATGGGTGAGGTTGTTTTGCCACCCAGGTGAGTTTGTTACAATATGAGACGACACTTGGACCCAATTTAATTCTTGCCCAGCCGCCCAGCCACCCAGCCACCCAGCCACCCAGCCACCCAGCCACCCAGCCACCCAGCCACCCAGCCACCCAGCCACCCAGCCACCCAGCCACCCAGCCACCCAGCCACCCAGCCACCCAGCCACCCAGCCACCCAACCACCACTCCCCTTGTACTGCTTCACATTCCAGGGGTTGAATTCTCAAAGCCTTTCTGAAAAGCCTGAGCTTCCTATCTGCACAAACATCAGCTTGTTCTGGGCCATCTAAACACAAAATTCACATTTCTCTTCAGACTGGTTCGTATATCAAGCCAACCTTATAATCTACAAATCGGTTTGGAGATCCCAGTCCCAACCGGAGGCAACTCTGACTCCGGGTTCTGAGGTGCGAACCCACCCTGCGCATGGGATGGACGTGTGTCTCAGACCCTCCGTCACAAATACTTGCCCTTTTTTTTTAAATTAGAATGACACCCCAAAAACCCGAAGGGCACACACACACAAGCCCCCCTGCGCTCGGGTCACATTGTCTCAACGAAAGGTTGCCTCATTCTTGATCCCTTGCTCTGTTCGATTCAATTGTGAGACCCCCAAAGTACTCAGTTGGGTCTGGCTTGCTCTGTTCGTGCTTGTGCAGTGGCATGCATGTTTGGTATCGATTCCAACGTTTGTTGAATCAACTTTTCTTCGGACCCCCTGCGCCTTTTGCGCCAGAAACAACACCATGAGCATGCGGGATATGCCCTGCTGAAGCTACGTCCTCTCCAACAGCTGGATGGCATTACGGACAAAGGCCAGGTGTCGGTGACGGGGGCTGCACCTATGAAGGTGTTTATTGCTCTGTGGAACATCATACAAATGCCAGTTACCTCCGCGGGATAGGGGTTTGCAATGCCGGATCTGTTTCTTCCCGGATTCGGCTTCTATAACTTTCCGGTTTCTGAGTTTTGCCTTGCTCATGGAATGCCTCGGCAAAACCCAGCAGCTGATGCTCTGACTCACTTGACCAGGAGCAAGGCAGGACTGCAGTTGATTTTGGTATTTGTTTTGTAGCCTGCAGTACGTAACAAGCAAGATCGACTTGGAAAACTGACAAGCCTTCAGCTGTTTCAACAGAAAGTGGCACCTTTTCTGGCACTCTCCCGCTTCTGATTGCCATCCAACACATGCGGCATCAATCGTGGATTCGCTCAAGGGAGGACCTCCCACAATCAGTGGGTTCCTTTGGGTTTCCCTTTGCAACAAACCAACCGCAAAAAAAGCACAAGCTCAAAAGCAAGCGTTAGTTCTTGCAACACAGAGCCGATGTCCGGGACACCCGCCTAACCATGAAAGCTGACAGAAAGCTCACGTTGGATGATCTTGTCACCAGTCAAGGCTCTCCCCAAACACGCCTGAACTGGGTCAACAAAGCGACCCCTCTTTCGGAACTGAGCTGAAGGAACCCCACACAAGGTCGCGACCCGAAATGGTCCCACGCTGCTTTGGTAGGCAAGATGTCACCACGTACCAGATGGAAGAAGCACGCAACGAGTCACACAGCAGAATCAAGGGATCTGTAAGAAAGGCATCCCAACATCCTGAATGCAACCGCGTGTTTCACCCCAAGACGAGCTCGCTACAAGTGCAAGCCAATGTTCCAACCAAGCAGCGAGTGCAGTCCAAACAACCCAGTGGCACCAATCCCACGCTCGCCGGAAAGCGAAAACGCAGGCCTGCATCATCATCTGCTGCTGCTGTTGCTGCTGCTGCTGTTGCATCATTTGCTGCTGCATCATGGCCTGACTGCCAAACGGATCGCCAAAGGACCCACTAGTCTAAACGATGCTACAAGGTGATGCCAAAGTCCGAAAAAAGTCGAAACTTTTTGTGTACCACTCAAACACATGAGGTCCAAGAAGAATGGAAAACCACACCAAACCAAATCACCCCAAGTAAAATCCAAACAGATCAACAACACGTGGGTGTGAATCTGAATAGAGGATCCTTTTGCGGACATCATTTTAGGTGGGGATTCATGTCCCCCAACCACGTTTGAGGGTCGTAGCCACATGGGAACATGGGCCTGGGTCAAAATTAAAGCACCAGGGGACCGCAAATTTTGGTTCATGTTGCCACTGACCAAGGTTCCGTTCTGGGTACCAATTTTTGACCCACAATTCAGCTCGAACAGTGCCCTCGCCTGCTGCTGCATGTAATCTTGGCCGTAGACCTGGCGAGCCGCGTCGGTCTAGAACGGCGTTTGAGATGTTTGACCCCAAGACAAATCCGCACCTGGACCCTCAAACTACCCGCAAAAAGGGAATTCACCAACCATAATTGTGGGTTGCAATAAGCAATCTTTAAGTTGGAAACACATGGCTACGGGTCAAAACCCCATACCCCTAGTGAACATCCCAATCCCCACTAAAATAGACTAAAATGGGTGGTGCACCAACCCCAAAATGGTAGCATTGGTGTTGACCCACGGCCAAATGACAAGGTGTGCGTTGCTAAAACATGCCAAGCCATGCAAGCGGCACAGAGTATCTGCTGTGTTCTGCACCACCTCTTCTTTTCATGAATCTGCCAGCACCCTGATGAATGTAAAGAAAAGAGGGTCGCTCGCATGGCTTACCCATGCATTCAGAGCGCTCAACATAGTCACCGGAAAACAAGCAACATTTCTCTGGTACAAAAGTGGATGTCCCATACCCATGACTGCTTTGTCGGTGACTGATTCCTTTATGCCAACCAGAAACCCAACGAATCTTCCGCAACCATGGGGCTCATTTGACAGCAACACCCCGCCATGTGTCCAACTGTTCACCTGATCGCTGCTCATAATGCCCTCAGATGTCTGCCCCGTGCGGAATGCATGTTGCTTGTCACAGCATGGTCAGTGCACGGTTAGTAAACCCCCTACGACAAAAGGTTTCCTCTTTTCCCTCCCACCAATAATGTTTGCCCAAAAACGCCCTACGCACTCATTTTTTGGCCTCCCCAAAACTCCCACCGATTAAGCATACTCCTACTGCAGCCCCAAGGAAAAAAACACTGCAAGAAAGAAGGGGTTCATTGTTGCTTAGTATTTGCATAGTCAGCCAGTACTAAGCCACTACACCGCGATTTATCAAAGCCCTTATTGTTGCTGCAGTCCCATTGCCCGGAAGAGGCTCTCCAGATGTATCAACTGGCTGAGAAGGGTCCAGAAATGGTCAGAGGTAAAAGGACGAGGATCGACGGGCTGCTAAATTAGGGGGTCCGACGCTTGAGGCGGCCGGGGCATTTCCTAATCAGGAGCATGGAAGGCTGACAGTGACCTCCTTGAGTCTGCTTGGACCGGAGGGCTGAATGGACCCAGCGGTTTCAGTTCCAGGAATCTGCAAGCATTAGTCTCATGCATGGCTTCGTCCTACGTACACAATAGTGCAAGGGCAACAACAGGAACCCTGAGCAACTTACCAGAGCTTTTGGTTGAATGAGCTTACCCGCAAACAAACACCTAGCTCTTCCAGTTGGTCACGTTTTGGGACTCTGGGCATGTTTTTTGCTCGCTATGAGCGGACACTTTGACTTGGCATGAGTTGGCCAGTTTTCTCCCGGAAAATGGAGGACATAGGCGGGAAATGAGCGGACTCAGCGGGAAATCAGCGGAAATTGGCGGACATGCGCAAGAACAAGTGTCCACTCGAGCGCGCTGTATTCTGATTGAACGTTTTTGAGTGAAATGCGCGGTTACTGTTGTTCGAAACCGAAAAATACCCCCAAAAAGCCCAGGCAAGACCTAGGTATGGGAATCCACCGTAGCTCAATCAGCGGCCTGCTGGCCCTGCATTTGCATCTGCTGATACTGCTGCTGCTGCAGCTGTTGCTGGTACTGCTGCTGCTGCAACATCTGCTGTTGTTGCATGTACTGCTGTTGTTGCAGTTGCTGCTGGTACTGCTGCTGTTGCAGCAGTTGCTGTTGCTGGAGCTGCTGTTGCTCCAGCTGCTGCGCATCTTGCGCCGGCTGAACTGCCGCTGGCGCCACAGCTGTCGCTGGCGCCACAGCTGCCGCTGGCGCCACAGCAACTTGGGCTTTCGCCTCGTCTTGCGCCGGCTTGGCGAAAAGCTCGGCCTCAGCCTTCTTGGCCGCCTGCATTTTGACCTCCTCCTGCTCCTGAAGGGCCGTGAGTGTCTCATGCACAAGTTTAATGCAGCAAGTCATTTGTGCTTCGCCTATGATTTCAGGAATGATACTACCCACACCCAACACCAAAGGGGCTGTGCAGAGGTCAACGGCCCACGGAGGAAAAAAAAGAAACATGCAAGAAAATGATCGTTCCCTCCCAAATAGGAGTGGGACATGTAGGTTTCCATTGGTGCAGGGATGCGCCCCAAACAAGGTGAGGTTTCAGGGCAACCTCGGGCCCCAACAAAAAGCAGCAAACACACACAACAGGCGCCGCGGGAGGTCTGCGGTGGACCAAAGATGGGGCCCTGTCTGCGGTTGTCTTAAAGGGAACACGAGGGAACGACTGAACATAGTGACGAAATCCATTTCGCACCAATTTGAGACCATGGTTGAAACCATTGCTTGTTGGTATTTACAGGGGGAATCATCGTTCCAGGGTTTCTTAGGTGGTGCAGGATTTCGTCCATCCACAGTAGTCCTTGCAATGGAATAACCCGTAAAAGGGTGCCCTGGCAGAACGATATACCGACCCATACTTGAGGGTCTGGGGGGAGTTTGATGGGAGGTCGCAACCCAAGGTGTACAGCCCATTGAGACGTGCGCACTTGCTTGGGACCGGAGTGCTTAGAATACCACACAGCTAGTTTCGCTGTGAAAGAGTCAACGCTCAATCTCAAGGGATGGAGCAAACCGCACATCCGCTCTGCATCAAACAGAAAGCGAATGATCGGCGATATCCCTTCAAGAATGGGGTCATTAACCAAAATTAAGGGGTCATGACCCCTTTTTCTAGGGGTCCTAGAGACTCCAGGTACACAGTTTTCACCCGCCATCCCGGAGTCGCGAATCGGGTTCTCCCAACTCCGCCGCCGCCGGTGTTCGGCCCCTGGCATCCCGGCAGCCCGCCTGTAGCGCGGCTTCCTCGGCCTTCGTCTTCGCAGATTCCTGTGTCGCGATCTGGTGGTTTGCCTCCTCAGCAGCTCGGCGTCTGACTTCCTCCTCCTTCTCTTTCCGCTCAGCTTCGGCCGCTTTCTGCCTCCCGCGCAAAACCCGGAGCATATCCAACTTTGGATTGGTTCATGCAATGGAATATAAATGAACGCCAACAAGTTGAAAGCGAGAGCTCGTGGAACCGAGTGGGGAACTCATTGAAACGGAACATGTTAGCAGAACTATCGCTCCCGGCAATCGGGTTGGCCAGGCAAGGAGGGCAATCCAATGCTGACCTCGCAACAAACTCTTCTGACACCCTCTCAGAACGCCACCTCGCCTGACACCTGACATGGGCCAAACAGTGGAGACATAATTGTATGGGTGTGACATCTACTGATGGGGTCCGAAGCCCTTTTTCTGTTCAAGAGTTTCAGGTGTCTCTTTGCTTTGGGAGGGGCCAAGGGGTACCAACGCAAGGAAGAAGGACGAGGCCAGGGACCGGTCCCTCACCCATCGATCGGCCCGGACATGGCCTGGCTTCTTCCACCTTGGCCTGGCAAATGCAGTGGGGTTTGCGTGGATGCATCTACCCCTCCAAACCCACGTTGCCATGGCACTTGACCTTCGGGGTTCCTAAAAAGAGGAAATCTATACAGAACCCCGCTCCCACAAATGCCTTCTGTTTGTGGGAGGGAGGGCTCCTGGTTTTGTAGCTCAGAGCTTGCCGGCCTAAAGACCAAAGGAAAATATCGAAGGGTTACCTGATATGGTAACTTTACTGGGTTTCAAGGGGCAACTCGCACCATGAAACGACACCTTTGTTGAAGGACATTAGAAGGTTTGTTACGATATTTACGTTGCGGAATGGAAATCAGAAACCAGGGTTTCTGAAAGGTCGTGCATAAATTGGATTCACAACCATCAACAGTACAGTCTCACCGTGGAAACCAAGCAACCTGCTTGCCACGCTGCTCCCGCACCGCCTCGTCCGCCTTCTTCCTGGGCTTTGGTCGCTTTGCAAGATACGTGAGCAGATCAGGCACTACGCCAGTAAGTGTTGAATTATTGCTTCGCCATGTTTCAACTATTGAAGCAGATCATTTCAGCCAACAGATATTCCTTCTCATCCACCAAACCTTCTGGAACCCAAAGCTGAACGCGCCATCTTCGACCCAAGCCGCTGCGCGAGGATCTGCTGCTCGGCGGCTTTGGCGGCTTCACGTCTGGTGGCCTCCTTGACCAGGCGCCAAAGGGAAACTACAGCAAATCCACCCCCCCCCCATGTTGGTTTGGGTGAATTGGAACAGGCACCAAACAAGATGTTGACATGCGTACTCCATGCGCCGCGTATTATTGTTTCAAGTGTGTGTGATGTCAAACTCTGACTAATACTGGAAAGGGGAATCACCCCAATGCATCCGAGGAAAGCCAGTTTCCTTTCGGCGTTTGTTGCCCCCTTAAAGAAGCAGGGTCCCCAAATCTTTCCCAGGCTTGTCGCCTGGCAGAAGCACACGCCCGGAGCTGCCTCCAGTCCGCCTGAGGCAAGCCTGGAAGTGGTCAGCTCCCAGGACCGGGAAGCTCCACAACTCCGGCCAAATTCCACAAACGGTCAAATCATCCAGAAGTCCAGCTCCGGTTTCGTAGAAACCTGTCAAATCCCCCGTCTAGAAGCCGATCAAATCAGCCCTAGAAACTGGGCAACTTCCCATTTAGAAATCAATCAAATCCCCTAAAAACTGCGGACATTCCCCTTGCCGGGATCAAACTCCATTTAAAGCCGGTCAACTCCCTCCTGCAACCAACCAAATCCCCCTAAAGACCGTAGCAACCGGTCAACTTCCCCTCTAGAAAACTGTCAAATCCCTTATAAAGACGTCCAACTCCGGTCAAGTCCCCCTAGAAACCGGCAAATTCCCCCGAGAAACCAATCATTTTTCCAGAAATGTGCGTCGCTTGGCCCAAGCCCACTGCCATTCTGTAGCTCACGCATTTCACTCAGCCTAAACACAACACTTCAAGCCATAGAAGACAGTATGCGCCTCAAAGCCAGCCAAGAGCGGACTGGCCGAGGCAGGCAACGCGAAGCGTTTGCAACTATGGTATAACGCCAAAAGGGGAGTATGACGCCAGAAGGCGAGTAGAATCAGGGTGCAACCTCAAATAAATGACCTTGGCCCTATCTGCATCAACTTGAGAGGGCAAACGAAAGCTCGCTGCGTGCAGCGCAAGGCAACTGCAGAAGACTCTGAAACGAGGCTCCATTTTGAGACCATCGAAAAGCTGAGAAATAGACAGGACATGCGCAGCAATGGAAAGGAAAGGAAGGGAGTGAAATGGACGGAATGGAAGTCAAACAGAAAAGAAAGGAAATAAGAATAAAGCGAAACGAGCACTTGTTCGGCCCCGGCTGGCCTTGGGCAGTTCTAGCTAGGAAATGCCACCTCGCCAACAGCCACGGGGCCTGTTCTTTCCTCCACGATGGCCTTCCCTTCCCTTTGAAAGGGCGCCGTGGTTTAACCGCAGCCGACCCTGATCCCGCCCTCCGTCCCCCCAACCCACAAAGAAAAGCAAACAAACACCGACAAACATGCAACCCCTCCCCCCCCCACCCCAAAAAGGGAGAAACAAGCAAACAAGCAAACACGCAAACAAACAACTTGAACCAAACGCCTGTCCCTCCGAACAAAAGATGCATCTTGCCCTGCCGAACCCCTCCTGTCGCGCAGCGTCCTCCTGGGCTTTTTTCTGGGCAGCTTCCTTCTCCTTCCGGGGTTCTCTTTTTGAGCAGACCCTTTTTGAGGTTGGTGGAAAAGCAAACCAACAGGAACATCTCATCTCTCCATGTGGGGTTGCGCTATGTTGAGTATCCAATCTTTCACTTTCTCTGATCCCAATCACCTAATCGCTCTTTTGACCAGTCCACCCTTGTCTATGTCTGCAGCACACAAAAGGACCAGCTGCCCCTATAGTAAGTAACCCGAAACAAGCAAACTCCCTTTGGGGGGTCCATATCCAATTGTGAAACCAACCATGCACCCTCGCATATCCGCTATACAACTCGAGCTGAGGTGCCAAAGCGCTACTTTTTTTGTACGAATACCAAACAGAATCCCATACCCTCTCCTGAACTAAAAAACCAGTCCCCACCTCTGTTATAAGATTCTAAGGCCAGGGTGTCAGAGTCCCCCCCAGGTGGGCGCTCCCTAGACCCAAAGCCACGACCAGCTTCGCGCCTTCTCCGCCTGGCGCGCCGCTTCACGCCGCGCCTCCTCAGCCGCCTTTTGCTTCGCCACCAAGGCCTCCTCCTCCCGCCGCGCAGCCTCCCGCCGTGCAGCCTCCCGCCGCGCTTCCTCGAAAGGTTGGGCGGATATCTACCGAAACCCTCAGGCTACCAACAACAAAGGTGGATTCACCCCCATGATTGTGGAACTGCAACACAATTTTAGGGGAAATTTGAGGGTTCAGGTGCACCTGTTTCGAATCTAAACTGCAGGAATTCAACCCAGGAGCTTCAACCACTGTTGGTGAGCACCAAAGTGAGAACCAGCCAAAAAATGACAACAACTCTTGGAAAGGGAGGGATTCATTTCTGAATCATCACTGTGTTTCCCTGCAATAGTTACCCATGGACCTTACACTTTATATACATATATATATGTTGTTCTACTGCGATATGTTTGTCGTTCGGGGCACTCTCTTCTGGATTTCAACCCAAGAGGCAACACTTGAGGGTACTTTGTTAGGTGAACAAATTCTGGACACATTGCTTCAAGTCACAAACCCCCAAACATGGAATTTTCCTAAGGGGCCTTTCCACGTTGTGATGGAATGCAACATTTTGAGACTCCCATCCACTACTTGCGCTGACTCAAATGCCACACGCGGTTTGAAGTGTTAAGCTTCCCTTTTTGACTCAGCCGCTACTCAACAAACACAAGCAAAACAACACTCAACGAAAAGCAGCACACCAGCGACTGCCTTTTTCCTTGAACAATTCAAACCAAGCACTGTCCAAACAGCAGTGGTTAGCTAAACAAACAGGCTTATGGGCTTATGGCGCTTGTGCTTCCAAAACACGTGTTTAAACTCATATGAACCTGTTGGTGTTTGTGCCACAAACCCAAGTGTTCAAATGAAACCCGTTTTGTCTTTTTGTTTCCAGCAACTGGAAAAACAAAGCACGACCCCCACCCCCCAATGTAAAAACAAAGAAAACACGAACCCCACAACAAAACAAAGCACAACGCAGGCACAAATTCGGCGCTCCTCTGCGGCCCGCTGCTTCGCCGCTTCCTCTTCCTTGCGCCGCTCCTCTTCCTTGCGCCGCGCCTCTTCCTTGCGCCGCGCCTCTCGGGCCTCCTCCTCCGCCTTCTTCTTGGCTGCTAGCTCCTGCGGCGGGAAGATGTTGGCGACTCCGATGGCTTTTTCTTGTTTAATCGTTTCTTCGGGTACCAGTCTCCAGGACCATGACAAAATGGGGTCATCAACGCGGAAAAAAACGGGTCAGAGCCTTGAACAGAGCAGCGGACAAAATCTGTTAGTTGCTATACCCACTGCCATGGTAAGTTGGGCGGCCGTTTATATCGGCTTTCTGTGTTGTGAGGTCTGGCAAATCAGGGTTCGGAGAAAAAAGCAGAGGGGCCGGGAAAAGGGCAAACGAAGCACGCAAGCTGCAAGCAAAGCCGGAGACTTGTTGCACGAGTGAACCTTAAAGAGCAGCTGGCCGGACCAGCCGCCCCGCGATAAAGGGCTGATCCACTAGGGCCATCCTTTTGCCCAACTTCCGTGGATCCGAGCAAGGCCTGCTAAGGCTCCGAGCTCGGGTCTCTGGGCGCACACCTGCCTGCGCCTCTCACCTCGCAAAGACGAGTTGTCTGTATTACCGGGCCCCCTGGTTTGCACCATGCGCTCTGGCACCACTGGTGCTGTTTCAGTTCTGCTTGCAAGCCAACCAACCCGGCACTCATTCTGAGTATTTGGGAAGAAACTGAAAATGGACCGCAAGAAGTTGCACAAGGCTTTAAACACACATTCCAAGGCAAGTAAGAATGTACACAATCTTGAGAACCGCCGTGTAGTGAATTTGTTGATTTGTAAAGAGCTCAATCATACCAAGAACCACGCAACAAAAAAAACACATTCCCCTTAGTTTGTTGAAAGAGCAAAACGACAACACAAGCCTTTTCCCGAAAGCAAAGACACGCACAAAAACAAAAACTACACAGCTGTCAAAACCACATTCGGCGCTCCTCTGCGGCCCGCTTCTTCGCCTCCTCCTCTTCCTTGCGCCGCGCCTCTCGGGCAGCCTCCTCCTCCGCCTTCTTCTTGGCTGCTAGCTCCTGTGGGCGGAAGATGTGGGCGACTCCCTCCGGAGGCTGCGGGTACTCTTTTTGGGGCTGGTTCGAAGGGCAACCAACAGTAATCTGCACATTTTGTGGGCGCCTTGAGAAACTGCATTTGTTGATGTGTAAAGAGCCCAAAGTTATGCTTGTTGGCAACGAAAACACACACGCCTCCAATCCCTCATCTCATGCTGCTAGAAAACAAAGAAACACACGCACAAAGCACCAACCTATTTTGGTGAAAGAACAAAACATTACGAGCCCCCCTCTCCCCCCCCCAAAAAAAAACGAAAACAAAAACGCAACAAACCCAACACCGCCACAAATCGGCCCTCCTCTGCGGCCCGCTTTTTCGCCTCCTCCTCTTCCTTGCGCCGCGCCTCTCGGGCAGCCTCCTCCTCCGCCTTCTTCTTGGCTGCTAGCTCCTGCGCTGCAACCCATGTCCGTGTAAGTGGCAAAGCCATTTGAGCTGATGAAAAGAGAAAAGCGACAGGCTGAACAAGTTGCGACAGGCTGAACAAGTTACAAAATGCTTATGAAGGTGCATATCGTTGGTACAGGTCCATAACTGGTGTAAGGTCAACAAGTTTAGAGCAATGTATACTGTTCTTCGAATGTTTTCAAGGCTTGACATGATATATAGATGGTCGGATGGCTACAAAACCCAGCAACATCCCGCACCCCTTGGCCAGGGACAAGACATTTGGGCAGGCCACATTGTGCAACACCAATGAAACCCCCTCAAAGCGACAAAGCAATGGGCGGATGATGAATCAATCGCTTCGTCATCACGGCCATGTTCAACATGCGTCGTGCAGGTGACCCCCTGGTCGAACATCCAAAACTGGTCTACCCCAAGGGTCCTGATTGATGTTGGGCCCTCAAAATGGGCTGTTTTTGAGGCCCGGGGGTGTGGCATTGGAGGGGTCATGACCCTTAGGGTAGCAAGAAAAGCTCCAGCGAAGCTCTCAGCTCATAAGGCGTCAGACAGTTTCTTGACGGCTTGTGAAGCTTCTTCGGGTCAGGGAAAAACTTTTATAGGAACCCGGATCCACCGGGTTCCGCTTTTAGAGGGGTTTGCTGCAAACTGCCAGGCCAACATCGAGCGTCCTCCGCCGCCTTGCGCGCAGCTTCCTCCTCCTCCTCCGCCTTCTTTTTCTCCGCCAACCGCCTCGCCGCCTCGGCCGCCTGCCGGGGTTGCTCGGACTGCCGGGGACATGCGTGCGGCAGGGTGCTGAGCAAGAGACACGGTGCTTAGCTTGGCAGGATTCCAAGGGTTGTCCTATTGCACATTAGGATTACGCCTGAGGAATCACACTTAGCCTATGTCTAGATAGTACCTGGTTGTAATCCGAAGATCCTTGACGGATGAAACCATGGGGAAGTGAGTCATCCTTCACCAACTGTCTCTGGTTTCTGCAATCAGTGAGTGGGGGCACCCCGCCAAAGTCAGGGTTTTCTGAGCATCCTGCCCCCTGAAGGGCTTCCATGATTGCCCTCTCATGGCACCTCTGAGAGGGTGCCGGAAAGATGATCCACCTTGCAAGGGCGTGCCAAGGAAGGTGCCGGTGACGCCCACGTAGTCGTTGTCGGCCGCGCTGTACGTCCCAAGCTGGAGGCCGTGCCCACGTCTTTCTGGCCTCTGCCAAGCCAGTGGCCCTTTTGCGTCCTTTGCGACAATTGAACATGATGGATAATTCAATCATGTTCCATTTTTCCAGCCACTTCCCAAGTAGACAGCCTCCGTATGAAACACTTGAGTCTAACCTCCGTATGAAACACTTGAGTCTAAATCAACAGCCCTCATTCTGTGGCAAAAGAAACCAACCGGACCAACCGGACCAATGACCAACCGGACTTGTGGACATCCAGTGGACTTCATGGCAAAAGAAACGCCCCCCGGTTCTGTTAAGGGGAATCTCAACAAAACAATCAAATCAATTAACAACCTCCTCCCATGGCTACAAAGAAGGATTTGTATAGGGATTCTCATAACTTTTCGCTTCAACCAGGTAGAACCATCCCTTGGTTGACGTTGGAAGGGGAGCCAAAATTCAAATTTTAGCGGTTAAGTGGTTGGATTTCAACCACTAAGCCACAACAAGCAAACATGTACAATGTTTCCCAACAACGACCATGACATCGAGGATCAAACTTAGTCAAGGTGCATTTAGGGGGAATCCCGAATTTCATCCCTGATTCCCCCTGTATTTCCTGCTTGGTTTCCCTGATCTCTTCAACTTAGACCCATGCTGGCCCCGGCCTCTTTGGACTCCACTGGTCCAGGCGGCAACGGCCCCGGCGGCAGCGGCTCCGACGCCGTCGCGGCCGCGGCCGCGGCGCCCGGCGCCTCGATGGCGGGCACCTGGCCCGGATTCCTTCCGCTGGGGTGACATGAACTTCTCAGCTTCCATTGGAGCACCCTCTCTCCCACTAACATAGCACATGTTGGAGGGTACCTTGAAGATCAATTCTGAAGGGACCCTCTGTGAGGTGCCATGTTAGTTGGAGGGAGGGTACCTGGACCCATTGGATTGATTCCAACGGAAAAATGGACCCAACTGAAAAATGAATTAATTCCATTGATGAAATGAAATGGACCCACAAAAGTCCAACTGAAAAATGCGGCAATCAATTTGCAACCCAAAATGATGGTTGGTGACGTCCCTTTTTGTGGGTGGTTTGAGGGTTTAGGTGGGTCATTGAATGCCTCAGATTCGTCAGTTAGATTACAAGCCGAATACAGATACACCATATAAATACAATGGGGGTAGATGGGGAAGTAAGATTGTGGTCGGTTTAAAAGAACAAAAGGAAACCACCCATTTAGGGTCCCCTCATGCTGAGACAAAGCGATGGACTGCAAATAAGAATCAAGAGAAGATCCGTATTTGTTCCATGGATGGTGGTTGATTTAAATACTTGCATTCAGAATCAAACGGATTTCGATGTGTTGAAGTTTGACCTATGACCGTTCCTCCCCAAATAACGGAGCCCCTCAATATCGCCCTCCCTGAGCGCAATGTCTTGACTTAGTCTCTGAGTACATGATACCGAGACAACCTTGAAGTGTCCACTTCATTCAGTGTTCCTGTGGCACAGGTAGCATCCGGCCAAGATGCTGAATTTTGCACTTCATTGAGTTCTGATTGCGTCGAATGTCCTCACGTTTGAGTCTTCCTATGGTACTGGAACTATCTGCTTCAACCAAACTGCCATAGTGTTGAGAATGCATAGTTGTTTGTGCTCTGGATCTGCAACAGCTGCTTGAATGTCCAAATATGAATGTATATATATATAATATCGACATATAGTTATATGAATGAATATAGTGCAACTCTATGCTAGGGAGTCATTGAGCCGTGCGGGCCAAAGTAGCTTTCAAGGTGGGGCGGTGATCAATCACAGTCCGTCAAAAGCCAAAGAGCAACCACACCTGTATGAGGTGTGCGGCGACTCCAAACCAGTGGGAAATGACCACTTCTGTGATACCACAAAAAGGGCCTCCCCAAGACTAATCCCCCATATAAAGAGGGGATGCCCTTGTATCACGCAAGTGGTGACAAACCCCTTGGAACCCACAACCTCCTTTCCGGAGGCTTGCCGTTAACGGTTAGGCGCGCGCCTGCGCAGCCTGTGAGTTGCCCATGCTTCCCTGCATCCTGAGGCGCGAGCGGACAACAAACCCGTCTTGAGTTTTGGTGTGCCTAAATACAGGACTAATTGAGTACAGACATACATCTCCTTGAGCATGACGCTCTTCAACTTTGCCCACAACCCAATTCTAATGATTTGTGCACTTGTTGGCACACTTCTTTTCGTGACGTTCCTCACCCGCAGCGACATGTCGCCCACAAGTCAGCTCGTCGCAGGAATCATGTGTTTCTTGAATCCGTGCTTGTGTGCAGCTATGCACAGAAGCACCAAGACACACACACACACACACATGACTCTCAAGTCTCGCAAAGAGTTCGAAGAGTGTCAAGCCTTGGGCAAGATTGCCATCGGCACATCATCTTTGGGTTGGGTCCCTCAACCACGAGCGTTACGGGTGGCCTATCAAGTTTCGGAGGTGGCAAAGTGGTAAGTTCGTTGGGATGCTCGGGGCTGGAACTTGTCTCTCGTTTCTCCAGTTTCCCTTTTGAGGTTGAAAGGGAAATCAAAGCGAAACCACCCGATTCATGCGGTTCTAGCCTGCTTTCAAACAAACCAACAAATAACGCGGAGTGTCCGAAAACTGAGAAATCCCTTGGCAGTGACTTGTAGAGATCCTCAAAGGCAAGCAAAACTTGGACTATAGTCCAAAGCTAGTAAAATTGAGATGTCAGGCAAGTTCTTTGATGGATCAATTTCCGATGACCTTTGTTCTAGCTGGTGCTAAGGAAACTTGAGGGCTCCCCCATTTGAGGGAATTGGACTGTTCCCCATTCCCAAACCACTGCGTAGATCATCAATTCATCCCGTCAATCGCTGATACTGTGGATGGATGAATATCCATTTCGCATCACCTAAGAAACCCTGATTTCTATTCATTACCGTAACAAACGTGGTTTCAACCATGGGTTCGGTTCGTGCGAACGGAACTCGTCCACGGTATGATCCCGCCCGTGTCGTTGAAGCGACTCAAGGTCCCGGCGGTTGGCACCCGCAGGCCTCGCGAAAAGAGTCCGACCGAACGAAGGCCGAAGGGAAGGAAGTCAGCCATGCGTTTGTTGCGTTTTTGCTTTTGGGGGGAGGGGAATGTGTTCATGTGTTTCTTTATGTTGTTTTTGCTTTGCTTTTTTGAGGGGAAGTAGCAAAATGGGCTGCTTGTTAGGGTCAAAACCGACTTCAAAGACTGCTGAACAGAAGGGTCGAACTCTTGGGCCTCTGGTGTCAGGGCGCAGGCCAGAACATACCCAGTTTCAGCAACATGGGTTTAGGTACCAGGGTCTGTGTCAAAAATGCGGGACCCTCCAAAAAGTGTGGTTCTCTTTGTAACTCTGGAGATGACTGCCAAACACAGGGTCGCCTTGCTTCAATTTGTCGATGATGTGAGCGACGGACAAAATACCCCTATCGGTTATCAGTGTTTTGCACTGCGCATGATCCGCAAGCTCACGCTAACATGGAAAAGAAAGCGGTGGAAAGGCCAGAGGTGGGGAAACAAGAAAGAAGAAGGAGGAGGAGAAGGAGAAGTGTAGTACAAGTGTAGCACGCGAAGTACATGTTCGCAGCTCCAGCTCGCCCAACTTTGTAGTACGCGAAGTGCACTTCCGCCGCTCCAGCTCGAAAATCCCAACTTTGTAGTACAAGTGCAGTACACGAAGTACACTTCCGTAGCTCCAGCTCGAAAAGAGAAACTTTACAGCACAAGTGTAGCCGCAGCTGCAGCCGCAGCTGTAGTGCAAGTACACTTCAGACCTCCGCAACTCCAGCGTTTTCAAGTGACTCATGCGCTGCTTCGGGCCAGTTTCAGCCAAAGGCTCGTACAAATGCACGATTGCGCGCTTCTTGCCACTGGCGCTTGGAACAGCACACTGCGGCACGATATCTAGTTGCTACGACAACGCGAAACAAAGCTGCTTTTCATGGCCAATGGGCGAGTGTTCACATTCAACAGGTCAGGATATTGGTTGGGGTATCGGTTGGGCATCGGTTGGGGTATCGGTTGGACCGTGGTGTCTTTTGGTGGAAAAATGGACTTGCTAGCAAACGTGTGCCCAGTATTTCCCCTCCTAAGATGTAAGGTATCATGCTTAGGGGTATCGGTTTTTGGGGCGTCCCCTATCGGTTGTGCATGTTTTAGACGTTTTGCAAAAACCGAAGTCTGGTTTTGCTCTAAGTCCATGGTCGGTAGTTTTGTCGGGCACTCATGTGTTTGCTGTTGATTCCACTGTGTTTGGCTTGCAGCTGGCTTGCCAGGCTGATTGTCTTTTCACGCGTTTTCTGGAGACAAACAATTGCAGAAGGAGCCAAGGGAGCAACCGTCTTGCCGGTCCAGTGCCCAGCACAAATGCCTGTTTGCCCAGCAATTGCTACCTAGGCTTCGCCTCAAGTGGTTGATTGCCTTCACGTACTACGATTCAAAGTTGACAAGGGCCTCTCTTTTGAGCCATTGTTGGCCGCAAGCTGTGCCAGGTTCGTCAAGGAATACCCAGTCTTTGAATTCAACCATGCGGGACCACGCCCTGAGCCTTTTCCAGCAAATTGAACAGATCCGCAGCCGCATAGAGTCCTCTGCCTTTTTCGCAATTACAGCTGTGGCAAGTTATGTCAATGGTTGGGCGGCAGTTGCAACGCGCCTCAATCACACGCAGTACTTGGGGAAGGAGGGCAAGGCCGCGTGATGCAGATGCACCAACTCGGGCTGAAGTGGCTGGGTACCCGAGTGGCCATGAAAATCATGATCACTCGGGCATTGTCCTTAGAGAGCAACCACCTTGCTCGTGTGCCTTTTCACGCGGCGCTTCTTGGGAAAGGTTCGTCTTGGATGACGCAAGCACAGATGGTTGCTCAAGCACTTGGGGCCCTTGTAGATTTTTTCGAGCATCGGGCATCCATGCGTTTACTGGAGCTTTCTTGCAGTGACGCTGCAAGGCTGGCCGTCAGGGAGTGGCAAGACACAGTGGTGAAGCCGCAGCTTGAGAGGGTTGAGCGTCAGCGGCTTCTTGACCAAGCCTCGAAGTGGAGCGTGGGGCACATGCTAGCCATATCGTCCTGGGATGCCGAGCACTGCCGCTTTCGACAGGTGGTGCGGTCGCTTCTTCTTTCTAAAACAATGTGGAGGCATGCCCGCGGTTGGCTTTTGTGCTGCTGACCAACGCTTTCCCCTTCGGGGTGATTGAAAACTCGTCAAGAATTTGTTGCAACAACTTGCACGAGTGCCCTTGGTGCAGGGCAGAGACGGACGTACACCATGTTTTAGTTGAGTGCTCTGCTTTGCCAATCACTAGGGTGCGAACCCGCTTGGCAAATCTCTCGACATTGAGGAACTAAAAGCCAAGTTCCCTTTTGTCAGCAGGATCACTCGTTTCACGTGGAGCAGGTGTCAGTGACAAGTGCTTGGGGGGGGATCGCGGCGTGGAGGCCGAAGGCTCTGTGAGCAAAGGTACCCACGTACGATTGTTTCTGGCCCATTCTGCGGGAGGGACATTGAACATTGAACATTTGTGGTTGTCCTTTCAAACAAAAGCCAACAAGAGGTACAAGAACACACACACACAAACAAATCAAACACACCCACTGTATAACCTCTGATTCTGGCATGCCCACTTGACAACTTCCACATACTACAGCCTAGGACAAAGTCAAGGTCTTGAGAACATACCATGCGTCCCATTGGCAACACATCTTCCATCCTGGAATCCAGCTTCTCCCCCACACATAGTTTTTTCTTTTCTCAGCACATATGCCGATATCCGTATTTTGGCCATCAACACCATGCCATCTGCTTCTCGCCATGGAGGTTCGCCCAAAACTTGGCCCCTGCGAAGCCCCGATGAAATTGGACTTGCTCACTTTCTCGGGCAAGCCGGCGCCTCGGCGCCTGGGTGAAGCCCCAAAACGGGGCCGTTTCTTCTGTGCTTCCAGGCCCGAAAACCAAAGGGCTGGCTGAAAAACTTGCTTGTGCCCAGTAGGGAATGTGGGAATGAACCTAGGGATTCATTTCCTTAAAGGAGACCACCAGTTGAATGGTTCATAGGGGTCATTTCTCATTCCCTGAGCACCAGCAAGAACAGGGCGACGTACCCCCCCGGCGACGTACCCCCCCAGCGAGCCAACTCCCCTCGCCTGTTGGCCATAGGCCATGGGATCTGGCAAGCGCTGAGGTGCGGCCAAGCGCCCAGTGGACTCGAAGATAGCTTTCGTTGTTTTTTTGTTTTCTTCTTTTTTTTTCTTTTTTTTCTTTTTTTTTGAAAAAACATATTATTATTATTTTTTAACAGTGGCTGTGGTGCTACAAATAGGCGTCCTTTTGGTAGAATAGATGTGTTTCCCTGGTTGGAATTCTTTCTAAAACTAACAAAGGGACAGCTACGGCAACTAGTATGTGTCTCTCCAACAAGAATGCAGTCAAAGGCCACAGACCCAAAAGAGCCTCGCCGCAAAACAGGGAGGCCCCAGAAAAAGACACGCGCGGTACCCAGGATGTTGACATTCAGCACCATCCTGGGCTTTGTGTATTCCACAAACCGAAAATGAGTCACCCCTGATTGGTCAGGCATTTGAGAAGGATCAATAAACAACTTCTCGACCAATGAACTGAGCCCGGGCATGTTCGGGTCGTACCATGACATATGGGAGTGTCTTTGTTTCAGGGACCCTATTGGGGTTACTTGGTTGACAACAGCAGGATTTTCAAGTTGGGTCGACTGTTGCATGTGAACAACAGAAATATTGGGGTTCCCCTAATGCTGGCTATCAAGTCGAATATCAGTTGCTGAGCCACTTGGCAATAGCAGGGGGATCAAATGAGCTTCTGCAAAACGCGGCTTGCACCTATCTGGCTCCTCGTGCGCGCCAAGCTCAATCATCCACACGGAACAGCCACTAACCGGCGTACATGAGCTGCGGCAATCAGCTCTTGAAGGCTGCCTAAATGTCGCACAACTGGCTGAAACCAAACCGGAGGGGGAGGGGTTGACACAAGCTGGGAGAACCTATGGAAAATAGCAAACAAAGAACTTTTCACAACTCTCAAAAGGTCGATACTGGCCGCGCTCGTGCCGCAAGGGGACTGAACACCCCTTCATCGGGGGTCCAAAGACCCTGTGAGGGAAGAAGGTACTTGTAACAGGAAACGAGAGGACCGGTGTTTCATGTCTACCTGGACCCTCAACCTACGAATAACAAAGGAAACTCACCCCAGAATGTTGGGGCAACCCACTTTAAGGGTAGTTTGAGGATCCGGTACACTTGCGGTGTCGTTATCAGATCCGGAGCCTTGTCAATCTACCCGTTCTAATTCGTCACGGGCCGACTCCCGGCCTTGCGCCTGATAGCCATACCTAAGCCGGAGAACGTGCCCTACTGATATTCCTTTCAGATATTCTTGGGGTCGTAAAGGGTACCGGGGGCACAACAGTTTGGGGTGAGGGTAGGCTATGTTACAAGAAACCAACATGTGCACAACATGTTTTTGCGGGGAAGAAACTTTCCGCCACTTTGAGACAAGCCAAGGTCCTTAGCAAATGGGCGGTTGCTTACTGAGGCCGCGAGGGTTCGGAAGGGTGAAAGCCCTCACCGAAACACGCGGATTTTTTCTTCCTAGTGACGCGGGAGCGAATCTAGATAGTCTGTCCAACACAGAGCACCCCCTAAAATCAGGTTCCCCCCTTGGGTTTCTGTCGAAACCAACCTGAAAAGGGTACGCAAATAGAGACACACAAGCAGATTGTACTCCTAGGAAACCCGTGACAAAATGATGCTGCCAATGGAGCCCAGTGTAACCGGCCAACTCTAACACCACGGCACATCCGCCAGCGGAAGTTGGACCAAGGCAAGCGGTTTGGGCACGTGGGGATTTCTCAAAATGGGGGGGGGGTCCCCGAAGAAGGCTAGTGTCCTTTGTTTGTAAATACAAACCAACACGCGGGCCGCCTTTTTGAGAAGTGGGTATGCTGTGAGTGGTGTTGTGCTGTGAAAATAACGCATTGTGCAAACGCGAAAACTGGTCACTTTACAGCAAAAGCAACTGGGTGGCAGAGGATTGATAGACTTCAATAAGGCAAATTGTTGGTTGTCATGTCTATCTTACTTAAGTTAGGATTTAACTTCTTTGCAAATAGGCTTCGATTCAACTTAGATAGCTTTGACATATACCTTGATAAGCCAACACTTTGAGTTTGTGCTATTGTGTTTTGGAAGGCAAGCCAATTGCCACAAACAAGAGCACAGTCTTTTCGTAATAAGTTCCAATCAACATCTAGTGAAACTTCAAACAAACACATATTTGGAATGGACTTCATGATGAAGCTTTAGCTTAAGATATAATTGTGCACCAATAGTTTGTCTGAAACAGATCCATAGTGTAATTGCGAAACACATTTCATCAAACTCCTCCGAACATGAATTCCTTGTCAATTCGCAAGACAAAAACAAGCAACACATGGTACGTAGAAAACAGACAAACAAACAAACACGTCGAAACATCGAAAGACAAACAACTTTCCCCTATAATACTGACATCTCTGGGCCGGAACCAGATTTGTTGTCAGGTTCGGATGTTTCCGCTACAGTCCTTGTCCGAATGGGGTCCCCCGGCCCCCAAAACCATTCAACATTGCTATTTCCGAGTCAGAAAATTGAATGGCAGCATTCAAAGGTTTGTCGGATTTGTGGTGTTGAAATGCTTTAAACAATTGGTTTAGTTTTGGTTTGGTATTGGTTTAGTATTGGTCCTGGAGTACCCCCTGATAAAGCTGGGGTTGGGCTGGGCGAGAAATCAGCCCATGTCCATAGTCCTCAGTCCTTTAAAACGATGATTGTTGGTAGTGGCTGCAGGATTGCTCCAAACACCTCATAGAGGGAAACTGAAGAATCGAATTACTTCTCTACCCTCAGGGTTTTGCCATCTAAAAAAAGTTGGCTCCCTGACGTCGACCGTCGCACATACAACAACACTGCTTGCGGCCGCACACAGTTACCTTGTTCTTTACCAGTTGTCTTTTGACACGGCTGATTCCGCAAATATTTTGAGCCACACTTCATCGGCCTATATTCTATATTTTATACAGAAACACTAGATTGACGATGACGGACCACTGCCCGCACCGGCTACAAGTACAGGGGAACTCAACAAAAACAATGCTATGCAACAAACATCTGCAAAGTGAGACGGGGTGAGCGTGGCGCCATCGTTGGTTGTCTTCTCTTTGTCAGCATCGGCATCAAGCAAGCTCTGCGCAGCTGCTACTAGGCACGATTTAAGCTCCAGTCCTCCTTCTACATTCAACCATCCACACAAGAGCGATGAATCTTTGACCTCTCCAAAAGGTCACGTTTCAACCCCCAGAAGACAAGCTGCATTGTGCGGAGCCCTGACAAAATACCAGGGCTCTAAATAATGGAAATAGACTTCTGGATATTTGACCGAACCTCATACATAAATCACGGGAGTTCCCTCTGAAAGGTTGCTATTGCCGGGTTTGGATGAACCTCGCACTTTGGGACGTCCAAAAAAGCGACATGAGGGATGGATGAAACCCGTGAAAACTGGGACAAACGACCTGCCGATTGGCTTTTTGAAGTAGATCTTGAGTCGAAACAAACCGCGGCGCGGCCACTCTAAGCTCGGCACTGTCCCATCTGGTAGGCCTAGCAAACTTCAAACTGAGTGCCAGCTCCAGGCTCTTGGCTGGAATTTTGAGCATGGACCAATGGCTTGCGGCTTGCCCAAAAGACCTGGAAATACAAGGTTAACCTTTTGGGGTCATGACCAAAAAAATGGACCAAACAAAGAAAACCAAAAGGTTAAAAGGTCGGCCTTGGGCAAGTGAGATGGGGTGAGCTGCGAACTGTGCACGCATGTTTGTTTGACATGTGCAAATTCCTCTACAGAGATCACGCCCTATAACACGGCTGAAGGGGGTGAGTAGCTGAGTAGCTCGTATTTCACAGCCTGATCAATCCAAAGACTCGCTATGCAAAGCCGATTCAAGAGCCACAAAGATGGGATCCCTCAAGTTGATATGGGTGTCTTTTCGTCAGGGTACCCCGTTTTTTGGTGGTTCTAAAGGGAAACCAAAAGGAACACCGCCATGGTTTGCGGTTGGATACATCCAAGCGATCAGCCAAAGCAAACTGGCCGCATGCTCAAAGCCCCACATGCAGCTTTTCGTTTCTGAGGGGCCCTTCACCTGCCGGCAGCTTTGTTTACGGGAAAGGGAAACCAAAAGGAAACCATTTAGGGGCCCAAACCCCACCAGAAAGGGAACACACATCCACTGCACTATGAGCATGAGGTTGATGCTTCCTCAAACAGCAGATGCAACATGATGTGTCATCCAAGTAACAAGCTACAGGAGATTCTGCCTGAATGCAACAAGCGTTCTTGTCTGTGTGTGTGTTTGGACACTTCAGTTGCCTCGACACACAACAAAACAACGCTTGAGCCCGTCATCGACCAGGGCTGTCCTTTTTCATGCCTTCTTGGACAAGTTTGGCATGTCTGCCAGAGGAAATCCGTCGACAGGCACTTTGTAAACCAAAAACACCCTAAACGGAGAAAACAGCACCACCTGGATCGCCAGTTGCTGCTTTTCTTTCCATGCACTTTACCCCCCAAACCAGCAACAACAATGACTGAAAAAAGCAGCAACTTGGCTATCTAGGCAATTTGTTTCTGGGAGACAGGACCACCTTGCCCCCCAACTGGGAGCGCGGGCATCCATGCCGGGACACTGCTGCATGTACTGCCTTAGTCGAAACCCGAAATTCTCGTGGCCGGAACATGGAGAAAGGGCACTTTGGCACCCCTTCCTAAAGCAGAAGAATGGTGTTCTGGGGCACATTGGTTTGGGTGGCCATCTTTGGACTTGTGTTTTTGGACTCAGCGGAACATCGGCTTTGCTATGATCATGTGCATCCCCGTGACCAGTGTCTCACCTCAATTCGTGGACTCCCTTCAGCTTCGGTGGCTGGATCTGGAGGGTTGGCTTCCCTTTTACCCTCTACCGGGTTGGAATCCTCAAACTACCAATCCAGAATCCAACCCAGCAATGGCAACCTCACCCTTGATGTCACAGAAAGTGGTGCTAAACACTCACTTTTCCGCAGCTGTGCCTCTCGCATTTCAAGTGGAGCAGTTGGACGCCTGAACTCACGCCTCAGCTGCCAATTTCCCTGGACCGAACTGGGAACTTGCCCGAACCAAGGCAAACCAATAGGAGCGTCGCGGAAGTCCTGAAACACGTGTTGCGCTTGCGTTGGGCCAGGCGCATCTGGCTGCCCGGCCAAAGTAACTCTGCAGTTGAAGCAGTACGGCCTCGCCCGAAGCTAGAAGGCTCATCACGAACCGGATGGCCATCACAAGTGTAGCCGCCGGGGCACCCCGTGCACTGAGATCTAGAACGCAGTGCTCACTGCCGAGATCCATTCCTTCTCGCAGTCGCCGGTGGGCTTCTCAGAGATGCTCAGTTGTGCGTTGTCGAGGGTACGATTTGGGATGGCTTTAAAGGGAAGCCAAAGTAAAAACCTACCATTCTGGGGGTCCTCCCCTTTTTTATCCACCACCTGCTGAGCTCAGAGATTCTTCACGCCGCAGACTTCAAATCTGTACGGCGTCCCCCAATGACTCTGGATTCAGTTTCCCCTTTGTTCCTGTGAGACTTTGCTCTGCCCAAAGGACATTGAAAAAAACAGGTTTCTGGGAACTTGTCTAAAAGTGGACCAAAAAGGGAACTGGCTACATCTCAATCGTGAGACTTGACCTCACCCGTGGCTTTGACATGGCAAGATACCAGCGGTGAAAGGGCAAACCTGGTGTTAAGGGGTAAAGACGGGAAGGCTCCAAGCAAACGTCGACCCAAAAAACCGTTGGAGATAGAGGACTTTCATATTTGGTTTCAAACGTTACTAGGGTTCAAATCCCCAAACCACCAATCCAAACCAGCAAACAAGGGGTAACGCTCCTAAACTAGTACAAAACAGCGCCGCTTCAAAATCTGCGAACCTCTAGAGGGACTTTCATCATGGCTGAGCTCGCTTTGCCACCCAGATGAGCTGGCAGTAATCGGATAGCCACCCACACCTTGTACTGGATCGAATCATAGGACTTGAAACCTCCAAGCTTTTCTGTGCGTTCCCGGGTTTGCTTCCTATCTGCACAGCTTTTTCTGTCCCATTTTTCAGGCACACAGAACATCCACATCAGCTGTGACATATTTCGTCTACCCAAAAATCATAACATCGGTGAAGAGATCCCGGCCCCCAACCAAAGGGCACTCCGATTCCCGCCGGTCGGTCACTCTGACTCCGAGTTCTGAGGTGCGAACCCGCCCTGCGCATTGGCAAACGTGTCTCTCAACAACCCCCCCAAACCAAAACCAAAAAGGGAAGGCACACCCACACCCATACAGGATCTACCAACCCGCATGCAAACTACTCAATGGTGGCTAGCTTGCACTGTTGGTATTCATGTAGTGGTATGCATGTTTGGTTTCGGTTCCAATGTTTGACGCGGCAACTCGTCTTCAGACACCTGTGCCCCCTGTGCGTATCGCGACAGAAACAAAACACCATGAGCAGGAGGGATATGCCATACTGAAGCTGTGTCCTCTCCAACAGCTGGATGGCAGTGAATGGCACTGGGTGGGGTTCATTGCCTGACAAGCTGGATACGTTCAGCCAACTAAAGCAGCAGTTGTTTTTGATGGTGGCTGCTACAGCTGCTACGGACACAGTGTTGGCGAGGGGAGGGGGGGGGTTCCGCGTATGATTGAGCACCCTGAAAGAGCAAATGCTACAGCTATAGTATAGTCGCATACATATATGTGCATACAGTAGACATCTTGCTTGCTCTGGCACTTCAAGACATCACACAAAGATCTCCTGCCAGTTTCATCCGGCGGGATGGCAACACTCGACCCGAACCAAGGCAAGTTGATTCCTGGATTTGGGTTCTATGGCTTTCCACTACATAAACTGCCGCCGTGGCCTCGGTAAAACCCAACAACTTATGCCTTGCCTCACTTGTCTAAACGACCTTGCAATCAAAGGTTAGCCTGCTGGAACTCATTAGGCCAAACAAACATCCGACCAACGAGAAATGACTCGTATTCGGAGTTCATGGCTCAAAATTGGAGAGCTAGGCTTGCGCAGGCTTTCATATCTTCGGTTCCATTTAAGGCGCCATTTTGGTACATGGTTTTGCGCCATGGCCAGTTTTCACCCTTTGCTGTGGAAACCACACCCAGCTTCGTTGCTTTGCGTTCGCAGCCTCGGTGGTGCGGCCCAAACGGATGTGGAGGGTTGCGAAATCCCTTCGCACCGCGAACTGAAACAATGGTTGAAACCATAACGTTTGGTGGTATTTACAGGGGAATCATCAGAAACCAGAGTTTCTTTGGTGCGAAATGGATTTCGTCCATCCACAGTATGGTCCAAACTGATAGTTGACAAGAACATTTCAAGAAAGCTGTCGAGATTGCTGCCGTGTTGCAATGATACATCTGGCTCCTTTCTGTTTCAGCGCTGAGAAGCCTTCAGCTGTTTCGAGACCAGCTCTGCGTCATCCCTTTCGCTCTTTTCGAATTTGATGATTTCTAACACAACATGCCACAAGTAATCTAGACTTCAAATACATCCAAAGCACGGGTGTGTCTCAGAAAGGATTTGGAACCTCCCACAATGGGTGAGCTCCTTCGGGTTTCCCTCTCAAAAAAAAGCGTAGACAAGTACCACCTCCAAGAGGACAAACCCGAAGGGAGCGCACCCCCGGTGTTGAAAATGACTCAAACACAATAGAGGTCTCAATCCAAAACGGTCACAAGTTCAGCAAATTGACCTAAGGGTGGGCCGGAAACGAAACCGGGTCTCCGCAACAAGTGGGTATTTGGCAGACACGGCAAATGGAAGAAGCATTGCTAGTTGGATTGGCAAAATTAGCTACTCACTATGATTTACACACCAGAATTAAGTATCCGTAAGAAGGGGATCCGAGTATCATGGATGGAATCGCTTGTTTCACCCCAAGAAGAGTTCGCAGTAAGTGCAAACCAGTCTTACAACTCAAAAAACAGCCTGTGCAGCTTCTGGTTTGCGGATGAAGCAGCTTACGCTGTCAAAAAACGTCCGCTGGGATCGAAGCCGCAGAAAGCCCTGCCAGAGACTCACCGACGGAAAGCGAAAATTGGGCATGCCTGCATCATCATCTGCTGCTGCTGCTGTTGCATCATTTGCTGCTGCATCATCTGCTGCTGCATCATCTGCTGCTGCATCATGGCCTGACCGTCAAAAGGAACCGCAGAATGCATGCCACACAAGCAGCTACATTCCGCTACATGTACCCTGCCACAGAGCCCACGAGTCTAAATTATATTGGGCGTTGTCAAAGTCAGAACCAGGTCTAAACAAGTTGTGTGCCACTAAAACACATATCTTTAACCTTTGCATTGTCTTCCCAAACAAAGGACACACACACAACCAAATCGGGCTAAACAAAATGCACACAAATCAGCAACACGTGGGTGTGACTCTAATAGGTACCACTTTGGCCATATATGTATGGGTCAAAATTAACCCTAAACCGCAGGGTTTGGTCCTTCTTTCCATTTACACGGGTTCCACTTTGTGGACCCATTTTTGACCCACACCCATATGCCCACTAACGACATTTGAGCGTTGCCCCATTAAGTGCATAGCCACATGGTGGGATGTCCCCTTAGCACGCACATCGCCCTCGCCTGCTGCTGATAGGGATCTTGGTAGACCTGGCGCAAAAACGGCGCTTGGAACTTGGCAGAGACTGAACCCGAAACAAATTGGGGCGTTTAAGACATGTTTAACCCAAGACAAGGGTTGGGCCCCGAGGGCAACACTTCAACCGGTGAACCTCGACGATGGGCAACGCCACGGTTAGCCAGCAGGGACTTCTAAAGGTATGGGGTCTGGGTCAAAACTAGGCGCAAAATGGAACCCGGTAAAGCACCAAAATCTGCGGTCCCCTGGTGGTTTAATTTTGACCCATATCCATATACTTTGATCCGGCCCCAATCTGCAACGCCTTCGGCCTTCTGGGAAATGAAAACGCTGGGTGCATCGGCCAAGGCTCGCCATGTTCCAGACACTTCCAGCCAGATTCCATGTTAGGTGTGCTACGTTCGCTGATGGAAGCATGCGCCCCTGAGAAATATCTGTGTTTCTCGCATGTTCCACGCACGTACAGAAATCCGGCATAGTGGTTGGTAGGGGTCACTCGCCTAGCTCACGCATGGATTCAAGCTCAACATAGTCATGAAAGAAAAACAGACCTTTATCATAATTACAAAAGTGACTACTTTGTGGGTTTTACCAGGCGATTCCTTTGGCATCACAGGCAACGCCAAATGGACACCATGTGTTGTACTACCATGGTCCTCCCTTGACAGAGGCCGTGCATCCATGCACTTCCCCTGGCGGCTCCTTTAAGGGCGCTTTGGATTTTGGCCCGTCTGTTGGGTGCAGGATGCAAGGTAGCTGTGCTTCACAGTAGAGGCCAAAAATAGTCGACACTCATCTCATCCTTGAAACTCATGGTAGGTCTGAACAGTCTGACCATCATTGACACCGGATTTCCTGTTTCTACAGCAAGCCATTTATTTCTGATTCCCCCTACGCTGTGTTCCTAAGCAAAACAATAGGAACTGTGCCACTTGCAACAAAATATGGGAGTCCTCCGCAACTCAGAGTGCACAGCGGCCTGCTGGCCCTGCATTTGCATCTGCTGATATTGCTGCTGCTGCAGCTGTTGCTGGTACTGCTGTTGCTGCAACATCTGCTGTTGTTGCATGTACTGCTGTTGTTGCAGTTGTTGCTGGTACTGCTGCTGTTGCAGCAGCTGCTGCTGCTGGAGCTGCTGTTGCTCCAGCGCATCTTGCGCCGGCTGCACTGCCGCAGGCGGCGGCGGCGGTGTGACATGCGCCTTGGCGTCTTGCGCCGGCTTGGCGAAAATCTCCGCCTCAGCCTTCTTGGCCGCCTGCCGTTTGACCTCCTCCTGCTCCTGACAGGGCTGCCCCCCAAAATAAGTGGACGCCTCTGAATAAAAACTGGTTGCCTTTTGGAGTCCGCTGAAAATCTGTGCCAGAAAGGGTCCCGAAGATTCACAGTCACATACAAGAGAGAGAGAGACAGACAGAGAGAGTCATAGAGCAAGAGAACCAGAACAAAGCACCTGGCATTCACCCCTGTTGATTGACTAATCTAAGCAACTAGGGTTCGCCTGGGAAGGACATCCACATACAGGTACTCCCAATTGATCACCAAGGAACTATCCAAACAGCACAAGTTGCGTCCCCTGTGCGAAATACATCCATGCCGCACAAAACAACACGCCCAAAAGGCCTGCTGCTCCTTCACACTCAGACTCGCTTGCAAAAAGAGGAGCCGAATTGAACAAGAACGAGCTTCCCTTGATTGCTGCTGGGTTCTACGAGAGCACAGCTCAATGCCTACAACTAATTCGTCGCCTGCACGGGCATGCCATCAGGACCAAAGCAAATTATGGGTTGTCCGGCGTTGTCAAAATGAGGGAACCCTTAAAATTGGTGTTCCTTTGCTTTCCCTTTTGAACCCTGAGAAAAACTGAACCTCGAGTGTTGGATTTGGAGGCCGCTGAGGTCATTCTTTTTGAGGAGTTGATGGAGGCAACAAGCCAAGGTGAGCCACAAACATTTGAGATGGCACCTGCCATCATTGAGTGCTTCGAATCCAGCCAGTTTTCCTCGGTGAGAGAGTCAAAGCTCAAACGGAAGGGATGGAGCAAACCAATGCAAACTGGACATCCGCCTTGTATCAAAATATATTGAGCAAGAATCTCAAGATCGTGCCGTGATCGGGTTCGGCCAGAATCTAAGAAGCAAAACGGCACACAGCTTTCAACAGCCATCCAAGAATTGAAAACTGGGTTCTCCCACATCTGCAGCCCGCAGCCCGCAGCCCCCGGCCCCAGCCTGCAGCGCGGCTTCCTCGGCCTTCCTTTTCGCCGATTGCTGCTGTGTCGCGATTTGGTGGTTTGCCTCCTCAGCAGCCCGTCGTCTGATTTCCTCCTCCTTCCGGTCGGCGTCGGCCGCTTTCTGCCTCCCGCGCAAAAACCCAGAGCATATCCGACTTGTGTTTGGTCCATTATAAATACATCAACGCCAACAATATGGAGGCGAAACGGAGGGGAACTCATTCAAACTAAACATGTCAGCAGAACTGTCGCCCCCGACTGTTAGGTTGGCTGTAGGGAAAAAAGGAGGGCAATCTGAAGCTTCCGTCAGTAACAAAAACTGCGCCTCCCCTCAAACAACCCGACATGGGCAAGAAAGGGAACATACAATATAGGGACCCGTCCCTCACCGACCCCCGCATCTCCACCCCCACCCTCTGAAACATACCCCACAACTTGTCTTTTTTGCAAAGGAATTCAACGTTTGCCAGAAAAGTAATCCCAAGCTCACATGATGCACCGCTCTGTTCAATGCGGGCTGAAGAGTGTAGCTTGTTCAAACAGATTGATTTGGTGGAAGTTTGAAACCAGATTCTGCTTAACCAAACCTTCAAACCTTCAATTCTGCGTGATTAGAGTTGGGCCCAGTTATAGAATGTATATTTTATTGTTTGCTTCACTTCGAGTCACTGGTAAAATGTGAAATGTATCCTAAGTCTACCCCAGTCTGGGTTCGCTTTCCCTTTTTCAACGGCCTGGACTGGTCCAGCAGCTGCTGCTCCGCCTGCTTGGCCGCCTGGCGACGGATGGACTCCTGCGGCGTCAGCGGACTACGTTTAAGCGTCGGAACTGATCTTCCAATTGGTGATCCGACCCCTGGCAAAATTACATATATATATATATGTAGACATATGTCCAATAGTGATAGATCTTCCTTTAACACCAAACACACATATATATATATATATACATATATATTCATTTCAGCAAATGGAAGTTGTTTGCCACACAAACGGATTACCCCAAAAGCCTCGCAGACTCGGAAACCAGCATGCTTTCCGCAACCCCGCTCCTGCTCCCTCACCGCCGCCTCGTCCTCCGCCTTCTGCTTCCTCGACGAAGCGAAGCGTTTTCGGTCGCAAAAGCCGACGCGAAGAGCATACCAGCTGACGCAGTAGCCCCAGCTCCGGCTAGCATCATGTTCGAACCAAGCTTCCTGAACCCTCAACATTCCCTTCAAAATGGGTTATTGCCCCAAACATATGGGCCGGTGGAATCGTGTTTTTTTTTTTTTTGGCCAGCACCCCCCAATGGCTGGCCAATTGCCGGCACATCGATTTTGGGCAAAACGATGTCACTTTATGTCTAAGTGACTGCAAAAGCAACTTGCTATCAAGTATCACTCATCTGTACTTGGTGCAATTTGTGCAATGGTACAAGTGACCTTCCAGGGTCCTTGGGAATGGGGTTGCAGGGGAAAGGGGAGAGCGGCAAATTTGAGGTTTGGAGGGCAAGCTTGAGGTTGGGAGGGGTTCTTGAGGAGCGTGTCTAGCGTGTCGGGGGGTGGCCAATTGCCGGCACATGCACGTTGAACGGTATGAGCGTGTCACCAGCGTGTCGCCCCCCCTCCCGCCCCCGCGCGTTGCATGTGCAATGATCATACATGTCAGCCCAAACCCCTCAGCCGGATCCCCTCTTATCCTGAAGTGACGTTTCAACAAAAGTGACTTTGCACTGCACTTTGATGATGGCAAAAAACATCTATGTCAGTGACTGCAAAACCATTTTTAAGCAAGTGCTGGTCAATTGCTGGCACTTCACCCGGGACGCCAATTACCGGCCATCGGGGGGGCCTGGTGGGTAGTTTGAGGGTCCGGCTTTGTTGCCCCAACCCCCCGAATCGATCTTCGACCCAAGCCACTGCTGCGAGAAGATTTGCTGCTCGGCCGCTTTGGCAGCTTCCCGTCTGATGGCGTCCTCGACCCGGAAGAACTGTGTGAACCATGTGTCAAAGGAAAACCACGGGAAAACGAACTCCATGTTGGTTTGGGTAAATGATTGCAACACTACAACAATATTATCTGGAACTACGTACCTCCCTACTCCGCATATTCCTCTTTGCATGTCAAACTCTGACTACAAGAGGCAGTACTTACCGTGAACTGTATTTGAAAGGAAATACCACCCCAATGGATCCCAGGCAAGCCATGTTCCTTCCCGCGTTTAAAGTGCGGTTGCCCTCGTAAAGGGGTAGGATCCTTCGGTGATCAGCACACTTCACGGGTGTTTGGTGGATCAAATCCCAGTTTCACCCAAACATATCCTGAGATATCCTGAGACTGTCCCATACCGCATGCGTACCACCGGCCCAAGTCATAGACACATATTGCGGTACGCCACGAAGCCTGTTCTTTCCTCCACGTTGGCTTGCGCTTCCCTTGGAACGGGTGCCGTGGTGCCTAAAAGCCTCAAACCATTTCCCTTTTCTTCTACACCTCCCACCGAACCCCTCCTGTCGCACAGCGTCCTCCTGCGCCTTTTTCTGGGCAGCTTGCTGCTCCTTCTCAGGGCTCTCTGCTTGAGGAGACCCGTTTCGAGGTTGGTGTAAAGGCAAACCAACAGAACATCTGTCCATTTAGGGCTCTTGTTGAGACACCCGAATCACGGGCTCCTTTTACCCCATCATCCAACTGCTCCGTTTGGCCATGCCGGTTTGACGCCTCGCAAATTTGGAATTATGCTGCAAACTCGCTCAAAACACATGCAAGAACAAACGCATTGTGTGGCTTGTCTGGATCCACTTTGGAAGGAATGGACGAAATCTAAACTTGGGGAACCAACCCAACGCACACTCCCGACCTTTTTTTTGAAGGGGGGGGACGTCCATATACTACTTTGAGACAAACCATGCACCCTCGTACACCCACACGCCCCACCCTTTACTTAATTCACAACTCCAGGCGAAAGTGCTGAAGTGCCAAACTTATCTCACAACCAAACAGACTCCAAGCAAAGGGACACCGCTCTTTTTCATTTTGGGGCCCCTGAAAAAAAACAAACACGTCCAAAAAAAAAGGCGCCCTTCGCACAGCGCGCGCAAAGAATCGCGCCGCGCCTTCTCCGCCTGCAGGCGCGCCGCTTCGCGCCGCGCCGCCTGCTCCGCCGCCTTCTGCTTCGCCGCCAACTCCTCCTCCTCCCGGCGCGCAGCCTCCCGCCGCGCTTCCTCGAAAGCTTGGACCGGGGTCCCCATATGTCTCTGGGGTGCCCCAACTGGAACCCAGTAAATGGAGACATGGACTAAAACCTGCGGTCCCCTAGTGGTTTGATTTTGACCCACACCCATATTCCCCCCACCCAAGGGAAGCTTGCCTTAAATGGACACAAAAGGTGATTGAAACCCCAAGCCGGAGAAACATAGGGGCCCCTGTTGGAAGTGAAACCACATGGGCTGGACAACCTTTGTAATATGCCCTGGTATCAGTCAGTATTGGCGATTTTTCCTCTGTATTAGTGTGCAATGTTTTGGGGGCTACGAGTAGTTGGTGCGAAGATAGCAAAACAAAGACACGGCGTGCTTCTGACCAATCGGTTGGATTTGGCAAGCATGGTGTGACCTCGGTTTAGCACCAATTGCAGGCTCTATCCATGCCTCATATTCTCCATAACAAAGGGTGCAACTCACAAGAACCCAAGACTATTCGAACCAATTGTGTCCGTGTGGCTTCTGGCAGTATCGTGCTTGACGGACGGCCTCTTACATAACAAGAAAAGTCTCTCTTTCGACCCAAGTAGGGTCTGTTTGTGGGATGCGAACAACACATGTTTGTCCTTTGGGGCAGGTTGGACACCATTTCTTAGAACCCGTTCAGAGTCCCTTGAAGAAAAGGTTGAAACCAGCATTTATGTTTGCTTTACCCAAGGAAGACTTACACCCAGGGCCCTTTTTTGGGGGGGGATTGTGCAAAACAGGCTTAACCCCCATCGACAAACATGGAATCTAGCTGGGGGCTGCTGGAAGACCAGCTTGCTCCGAAAGGTACCGAGCCTCTGGTGGGTTCCCTGTTGGTTGGTGGCAGTGCGAAGTGCGTGGCGCTCCGAATGAGGAAGAAACCAGACAAAAAAAAAAAGTTTGCTCAATTTCATGGCCTCGTCTGCAAATTCTAGGGGCCCTTGTTGCAGACAAGCCAAGGTGATTTATGTCAGCCCCCTGCCAAAAATAAACACGTGGGCCCTTGATCCTGTCCTCTTCCTCCTCCTTCCGCCTTTCCGCTTGTTTTCGGGCCGCCTCTTGCCGCGCGGCCTGCCGTTTCGCCAGCCACCGCTCCAGTTTTTCTTTACATACGAAGTCACGCCAGTCGAGCCAGGGAATTCATTTGAGCCCTCCAAGCTGACCATGGGACACTTTTCCCATTGATATAAGGTGAAAGTCATCCTTTTCGGTGGATTTTTTTTTTCGCGTAAACGACCCTTTGAACAACCCCCACATGTTTAATTAAGCCACGGTGAAGGTCACCTGTCTCTGGTTGCGTACAATCAATCCTCAAATTAGATGTCGGCTCAGCCAATGGCAACAGCCAATGGCGGCATGTTGGCTCAACAGACAGCAATTGCATCTTCTACAGCCCAGTGATGTAAACCCAAACTCGGGCACAGTGGTCAAGATAAGAACCTGATGTCTGATGGATTGTGGAGAACTGGGAGTCCATGGTACACTGCGGCACGAGCAATGCAGCAACACTTTTCTATCTATGCTCGAGTCTTAGTCAAAGAAGGGCCTTGAGCCACAACGAAATGGTGAGCATGCATGATGACATCTAGGTCAATTGGTTCAAAACAGAACACAAAACAGACTCGAATTGCTGTCTGAAGGCTCTATTCCGTGGCCCAATTAAGAAATACAGTTGGATCGATTTTGAACTCTGCTCTAATTCGCACGCAAATGGCATCCTGGCTTGTAGCCTGAACAGGCGCAACGGTGAAATCCACGGGCAATTGCTTGCCGTAAACTCCCTTTTGCCCCCCCGTTTACGAGCCCCAAATGGCAACACCTCTTTCACTGCTGAAACATCCTCACTGACTAGTGTTTTCCCGCACAAGGTGTCCGTGGACCATGGTAATTGCTTTGTTTATCACAGCGTGTTGCTTTTTGTGCAGCACCAACAAATTGGATCACAAAACCAAGTGGACACCAACCACCTTAAAGGATTGAATCCCTAGAACTCATGTTGAGACATTTAGCGGTCCATGTAATCAGTTGATGGACAGCCCCATGGAATTCCTGAGTAAGGGTACCTCCATCACGAGTTAGATCTCCGTACCTTCGGGGGAGCTTGTTGCGATTTTTGCAAACAAACAAATTCCACCATTTTGAGACCACCGCCAACTACTTGCACTGGTTCAAATGCCACGGTTTGAGGTGTTCAAGCTTTCCTTTTTTGACTCAGCCGCCACTAAACAAAGACAAGCAAAAACATGACACAAAGCAGCATAACAGCACTCTCAAAAAACGCCAAACGCTGTCCAAAAAGCAGTGGTTCGCGGAGGCAGGCAGCTTGAAAGCTTGGTTTTGAAGGGGGCTCCGCAACTGCGTTAACAAAACAAGCAGCTAAAACGCAAACAGTGGTTGTGCTCCAAGACATGTGTTTAAACATATATGTGTTGTCAACAAAAACCTACATGCCTCCAAACACAACTCCCCCCCCCCCCAAAAAAAAAACAAGGAAGAAGAAAGAACCGCTCAAAATCAAAGCAAATTTCGGAAAAAAGAGGCACGCAACACAAAACAACCCAAAAGCAAAACAAAGCCGGAACGACACCTATTTGGCCATGCGTCAAAACCCTGTACCCCCAGAGAACATCCGATTCAATCAAACAACTAAAATAGGTTCAAAAATGGGTGGTGAATTCACCTACCCCAAAATGGAGCCATAGGTTGTGCTCCATGTACATTTGGGCCTCTCTTTTTGGGTCCCTTTTCGGTTGGTTTGAAAGGGAAACCAAAAGGAAAACCGACGCCATTTTAATGGGTCCCCCCAGTGAACAACCGATTCAATCCAACCACCAAAATAGGTTCAAAAATGGCTGGTGAATTCACCGAGCCATAGCTTATGCTCCATGTCCATTTGGGTCTCTTTTTTTGAGGGTCCCTTTTCGGTTGATTTGAAAGGGAAACCAAAAGGAAAACCGAAGCCATTTTGGGGGGTCCCCCCAGTGAACATCCGATTCAATCCAACCACTAAAATGGGTTCAAAAATGCGTGGTGAATTCACCTACCCCAAAATGGAGCCATAGGTTATGCTCCACATTTGGGCCTCTTTTTTTGAGGGTCCCTTTTCGGTTGGTTTGAAAGGGAAACCAAAAGGAAACGAAGCCGTTTTGAGGGGTCCCCCCAGTGAACATCCGATTCAATCCAACCACTAAAATGGGTTCAAACATGGGTGGTGAATTCACCTATCATTTCCAAAATGGGATCCCAAAACGGTTTTGACAACCACAGCCATTTGTGGCGCTGGGGCCTCCTCAGCCGCCCGCTGCTTGGCCTGCAGCTCCTCTTCCTTGCGCCTCAGCGCCTCGCGGGCTGCGGCCTCCTCCTCCGCTTTGCGCCTGGCAGCCAGCTCCTGCGCCCGGCGCGGGCGGGTGCCAAGCAGCCGTGGTAAGGACTGGGTGGACAGTACCGGGGGGGGGGGGTGGGGGTGGGGGTGATTGAAGATGTGGCTTTTTTCGAGGGTGCCCTTTTGTGGTTGCTTGAAAGGGAAGCCCAAAGGAAAAAACACATTTGAAAGGGTCCAAACTTCAAAAAGACACACCCGTGCGGGCATGTCTTATGTGACGGCCAAGATGATGGTCCATCCTTTCAACCACAACCAAAACGGCACCCCGTCGATCGCCCCATCGCCCCGCGCCCGGCGTCCTCTGCCGCCTTGCGCGCAGCCTCTCGCTGCGCCTGCTCCTCCGCCGCCTTCTTCTTCTCCGCAAGGCGCCGCGCCGCCTCCTGCTGCGCTGCCAGGATGGCCGCCTGACAGGACACCGAGCAGGGACCGAGCAGGGGCGGGGGGGAGGGGTGCAGGCAAGTGGCTCTTGACTAGGCGGCCCAGGGCGTTTGTCAAGCAAGGTGTAAAAGGTGAGTTAGTGGCAGGTGGCAGGGTACTTGCGGCTCCTTATCAAGAAATGCAAGGGGCACGAAACCATGCGAATTCTGTGGGATGCAACCATCACTGAGCGCTTGAGCATCCTGCCCCCTGAAGCAGGTCAACCTCCACACCAAACACGGACACGAGTCGATTTGTGCAGACTCCAACTCTCAACAAAACAATACCCCCAAAAACAGTGGTTGCAACATAGACATCTCCACCCCCCAAGGCACCTCAGCTTTCCCGCAAGAAACATGCTATTGGATTCGGATCCATAGTAAACCTTCAAATGAACCAAGTCAAAAGCGGTCCCAGACAATGATCTGGGTGGCTTCTCGCCCGGAAAATTGAACCAAAAAGATTTAGCTAGTTCTGAGGGAATTTTAAGAACAGCATGCCACAACTGGAGTGTTTTCAATTGGGTGGTGGCTGCCCCACTCTCGGTCCACTAACCGCCATCGGGTAGCTTTAGAGGAAAAAGGTTTATCGTGAAAGTTCTGTCCAGTTCCATGTTAATTTGTTGGGCGGGCAAGCCAGAAAACTGAGCCAATGCCCTTGCGGTGTCATCTCAGGGAAACATAACATTGCTGTGTGTTTGACCTAACTTGTGGTTAATTGAAGGACTGGGCGGGGGCAAGTCAAATCCCTTTTGGACACGATGTCCCAAAGGGGCAACTGAGGAAGGGAAGCTGCGTATCAGACGCACATCCAACTGCTGGTTGCAGTGCAACTTCCTTCATATGCAGCCACAACCCGGAAAAAAAAACCGAAGCAAGCCATGGCCATGACTTTCAAAGGCTGCCTGAAAGCCAGAATAGGTTCTTTGCGTACTGGCCAAGGAAACTTTGGCTCCATGGCTCGTCCCCAAAAACCAACGGCGCGTACTCGCGCCACGCCTGTTGCCGCTCCTCCTGTATCTGCTGCGGAGTCTTTGACTGCTTGCCTCGGATGCCAAGGCTTTATGGTCAAAAAGAGACCAGAGCAAACTTCTTAATATCTCGGTTGCTTTCTGCTCCCTTAATGAAAAACCCATTAGTTGGCAAAAAGTTAAAATCCTAACATCCAAGCAAAATGCACCAAAGATATGACATGCCTGGGCCAGGGTGGCAGCAACGATTTGAACAACTGGGCCCAGGTCCAGGTTCCCCTTGAAGCGAAATCAAACAACATGTTTGTCAGGCAGGCCGAACGAAATGCTCCCACCAACATCAAAACGCAGCGTTCAAGTCCGAATGCTACAAAACATCTTGTGGCCATGAAATTGCAATACTTGGTCCCCCCAGGGCAATGGATCTGGCGAATGACTGTACTTCAGAAATAGGGAATCCGGAAGCAAGGAGCCTTCATCATAGGCAAGCATGGTTTACCCTGAATCGGTAAGTTTCAGCTTGTCTTCAGACCCGATCAAATCGGTGGCTTCTTGTTGGATTTCCCTTCAAGACAACCCCCCCCCAAAAAGGAAAACAGAAGGTACACCCAAACCAAGTCGACCCACATGGGTGTGTGTTAAACTAGGAGACCCCAAAAACAGCAGTATTCCCATGGCTTCCTTTCAAAACCCCTAAAAAGGGGCAGCCTCAAACAAAGACAGATCATGACAGACCCAAATGTGGGTTCATCAAAAGGTCCTGGGGCCAAACGGAACATTGCTCAACCCCCGAGTGGCCGTGGCTTTACCCAAAGGCTCCTGGG